ATTCCTCCCTTCCTTTCTGGAATCCCACACTCAGAGGTACCGCCCATACCAGGAGGTACCGCCTGTCCCTTGGATGGAAACAGGCTCCCCAGTCCAGGCGCAGCTCCGATAACCCCGGCCCCACAGCTGACGGGCTCCCAGGCATCCTGGCTCCCACAGACGGGCCGTGGGGAAAGGCAGGCTCAGGACTCAGGGGCTCTAGCAGGGAGGTGGGTGGGCCGGGATGGTGAGGTCAGCAGATACCTGGGAGAGACTTCAGGAGAGCTATGGCCTGAGCGTGGGTGAGAAATGAGCCCACTGCTTCCAAGCCCACTTGGGCCAGCCTGGCCAGTGCCTCTACTGAGCCAAGGCCAGAGAGAGGAGGGGCCCAGGACCGAGGAACGTCACATCCTTGCCCTGAGTCCCAGATCCACGGACTTCAGACCGCAAGTGTGCTCCCCAGCCACGGTACACAGGAGGGGCGGGGCCTTTCCTGGGTCCGACCTTCCCCTGCTCATTCCACAGTCTTCTGTATGGCTTGGTTTGGCCTGAGAGGGACTCTGGGGACACAGGGAAGGGACACAGGAAGAGGGGCATGTAGGCAATGTTTCCTGCTGTGGCAGCGTCTATCATTGACCTCCCCCAAAACCCCCACCCCAGATAGATCTGTTTCTGGATGACCCAAGCATCAGTCAATAACACTTTAGTCAGAATCAGTGGGGCCGGCGCCGCGGCTCAATAGGCTAATCCTCCACCTAGCGGCGCTGGCACACCAGGTTCTAGTCCCGATCGGGGCGTCGGATTCTGTCCTGGTTGCCCCTCTTCCAGGCCAGCTCTCTGCTGTGGTCAGGGAGTGCAGTGGAGGATGGCCCAAGTGCTTGGGCCCTGCACCCCATGGGAGACCAGGAGAAGCACCTGGCTCCTGCCTTCGGATCAGTGCGGTGCGCCAGCCGCGGCGGCCATTGGATTGTGAACCAATGGCAAAAGGAAGACCTTTCTCTCTGTCTCTCTCTCTCACTGTCCACTCTGCCTGTCAAAAAAAAAAAAAAAAAAAAAGAATCAGTGGATGGTGTTGCTTAAGCTCCCTGCATTCTTGGGCCAGACCTCCACAGAGGAGAGGGAAGCTGGCAAAGTGCTCAGCACAGAGCTGGGGCGAGGAAGGCAGACGTGAAAGGGAGAGGGCACTGAGGAAGCAGGGCAGGCCTCACCTCACCTCAGGGTCCAATGGGAAAACAGGAGCCATTCCAGGTATTTCAAATAGAGAGAATTCAATGTAGGGAATCCACTCTTCAAGTGAGGGAAGAGCGGAGAAGCTATTTAGGGAACAGAAAGCCCAGAAAAAGCACCGACAGGAAGCTGCTCCCAGCCCTGGGCTAGAAGCACCGAGAGGGAGGCAGCGGTTTGCATGAGCCACCCCGGGAGGCCAGCAGCCCGTTGGATGTTCCCCACCATGTTTCTCAACCGGCTGCTTGTGGCAGGAACTTCCCCACTGAGTGTGCACTTCCCTTCCTCGGCTGCAGTTCTGGGGCACAGCCGCTAACAGGCTGCTTCCTGGGCCCCACCGCTTGTCCACGGCTCTGTGCCTCCCTGTGCCCAGAGGGAGAGCTGGTGCCTGCTGAGCTCCACCGCCAGGGTGTGGGGAGAGATCGAGGACTGAGGAATGCCCCGAAGCCCAGGAGGCTGACACCTCTGTCCCACTACCTGGACTCCGAACAGCACCACCCTCAGGGGCCTTTTATTTTTGCTTTTTAGAATTTTCATTTATGGGGCTGGCATCTTGGCATAGTGGGTTAAGCTGCCACCTGTGACACTGGCATCCCGATTGGGCACCAGTTCATGTCCCTTGCTGCTCCACTTATGATCCAACTCTCTGCTAATGTGCCTGGGAAAGCAGCGAAGGATGGCCCAAGTGTTTGAGCTCCTTACTCACAAAGGAGACCCAGAGGAAGCTCCTGGCTCCTGGCATCAGCCTGGCACAGCCCTGGCTGCAGTAGTCATTTGGTCAGTAGATGGAAGATGGATTTCTTTTCTCTCTCTCTGACTATGCTTTACAAATAAATAAATAAATAAGTCTTTTAAAACTTTTTTTTTTCATTTACTTGAAGGACAGAGACAGAGAGAGACAGACAGACAGAGACAGACACAGAGAGACTCTCTATCTGCTGGTTCATTCTTTCAAATGCACATCAAGACTTGGCCAGCCTGAAGCCAGGAGCCCAGAATTCAATCCAGGTCTCCCATGTGGGTGGCAGGGACCCAAAGTGCACATAAGCAGGAAGCTGGAGTCAGAAGTAGAGCCACGACTCTAAGCCAGGCACTCTGATATGGGGATGTGGGTATCTCAAGCAGCAGCTTAATTGTAATACCAAACCCACCCCTCCCTGGGTCTAGAGGCCAGCTTTTGACAATGAATGGATCCACAAATTTTTCCTGAACAAAACTGTATGCCAGGCACCATCATGTTATCTTGGTTTTAACCTGACTCCAATCCTGTGAAGTGGATTTTATTATAGAATTCCATTTTATAGATTGGTAAACCAAGGCTCAGAAGGGTCAACCCACTTGCCCAGGGTCCCTACACTAAGATGTGGCTGTGTTATCTTTTTTAAACATGATACACTCTTTTTTTAAAAGATTTATTTATTTATTTGAAAGACAGAATTAAAGAGAGGCAGGGAGAGAGAGGGCCTCCATATGCTGGCCCACTCCCCAGATGGCCACAATGGCCAGAGCTGGGCTGATCTTAAGCCAGGAGCCAGGAGCTTCTTCTGGGTCTCCCACGCAGCTGCAGGGGCCCAAAGACTTAACGCCGCCTTCTACTGTTTTCCCAGGGCATAGCAGAGAGCTGGATTGGAAGTGGGGCAGTTGGGACTCGAACTGGCGGCCAAATGGGATGCGGGCACCGCAGGCGGCGACTCTGTTATTTTACATCGATTCTCCCCGAGCCTTGAGGCACAGACATGGAAAATCCTTGGCATTCACCATTACAACAGTCGTGGTTTCAGTGTCTGAGGGTGACCTCCAGGGTCGGGGACTTTCTGTCACATGGAGCACTGGCATAAGACAAGGCTGGTGGCACGAGGAAGCCCCCAATGTCAAGGTGTGAATGAAGCAGGCTGAGCTCCTGGCCGCACCCTCAAAGGGAGGCCTGGGGAACTCCCAGGAGGCGCTGGATCCATTTAGCCGGCCCCCTCCTGGACTCATGTGACCTTGAGCCAGTTCCTTTCCTTCTCAGCTGTAAGACGAGACTCACAGCCTGACCTTGAAGGGTTCTCGTGAACACCACCGACACACATGACTGCACTCCCACACGTGGGGCTCCTGTGACAGAGCGGCCGCTGCTGGGGCAGCGATGCTGATCGTAGCCTTGCAAACAGAGGCGGGGCTCAAGGCTTCGCAGTGGGCCTCAGGGGTTGAGGTGGCAAGACCTCCATGGGCAGTGGCACTGACCACAAGGGGCCACGGTGGCCAGGAGGGTCCGGCCCAGTGAACTGAGAGGGTCAGGCTGGTGGGAGGAGTGGATGCTCAGAGCTTTGGCCTTTGGGCTCACAAAGGCTTGGGTGGGAATGGCTTTACCAGGGCCTTACTTTTCTCATCTCTAAAATGCCCATTTCCCAGGGGTACATTGAGTGGATGAAGTGCACAGTCCCGAGGCACCTGGGATGGGCCTGACACAAGCCAAGTGCTTGACGGATGTCAGGGGTGACTGTTTCAGCATCAGTGGTCTCTGTGGTCTTTGAGAAGCCGGGACCAGAGCTCCAGGCCGTGAGCAGAGCTCCTCCCTGCCTGCAGTGCTGATTCCTGGGCCTCCACAACCTCGGGTGTGCCTGCTTCCTGGCTCTGGCTTCCTCTGGGACAGTTCCTCTAACCCCAGACGGAGCCATTTCCCCATCACTTCCCATCAGGTTCGGGTGGGGGGTGGCCAAGGATGACGGATCCTCCTGCCCCTACTGGGTTTCTGGGCAGTGAGGCTGGGTAGCAGCTGTGAGGCACCGGCTCCCGGGTCTGACCTCAGCCCCAAGGTTGCGCCGAGTCTCCCACCCCCCACCCCCAGCTGCTGTGGCCTGGGGCTCCAATCGCCTTGCCTTCCTGACCTCAAGGCACTTGTCACTTATCGGGACCTGGAATTATCTTATCAGCTCGGTTATTGGTTTACATGTGCTGCCTCCCCACACTGGGGAACAATCCTGGAGATGGGCCTTGTCTCTGTATCTGAAAGCCCCACTTGGCAACGCTCACCAGGCACCCCTCGTCTTTGCTCAGCGAGCAAGAAGCAGCACGAAGAGGGATGTCCTGCGGGGGAGGCACAAGAGCCCTGGCCAGAGGTGCAGGAGGCCTGGGTTCCCAGCCTCGCTCCATGACCCTGGGGCCTCGGCCTCCTCATTTGCACTGTGAGGTCCTTGGGGAGGTGAGCTTCAAGACCCTTCTGGGTTCCAAAGGTCAAGGTCCCTGTAAGCCGCACCTCCAGGGAAGCTCATTGGCCACTGGGGAGCAGGAAGTCTGCTCCCATCTGGGCCGCCAGTGAGTAAGCGTGGAGAATTCTTCCTTCCCTCAGGGCTGCCTGCCCTAGCACGGGACTGGGGGCACGTCCACACACACTGTGTGAGTGTGGGTGTATGTGAGTGCAATGTATGTATCTGTGTATGTGAACATCCATGAGCAAGCGCCTGAGAGGGAGCAGGTGTAACTGTATGCATGTACACTGAGTGTGGGCCTGAGTGTGCATGAGCTTGTGTGTGCATGTATGCACATGCACACAACCACACACATTTGTGCCTACTCATATAGGCTCATACACACCCACACATACCCAGTCACACCCACATCATGCTTACATACTCAGATTTGCACATGCTCATTCTCTCACCGTCCACACTTTCCTGCACACATGTTCACGCAGTCAGCCTGTATACACACTTCCATAGTCACACCTACTTCACACACACACACACACACACATACACACACACACTCCTGTGTAGCCAGTTGCTGTCCCGCAGGGTAACTCACATAACCACATACAGACCCACTCAGTTGCACACACTCACACACACACGCTCACCACCCCCCACTCCCGCCCTGGCCTGCAGGCAGCTTGCCCCTGCTGAGTCGCCCAGGACTGGCCTTGTCTGATGCCTGCTCACTGCTCTCTTTCCTCCTTGGTTTTATTTATTTTTCTTAGGCATGATGAGCATATTTGGAGAGTATGCTATTTTCACCCTATCTGGAAGCATATTTCCTCATGGCCATGAGCTTGGCAGATCAGTGAGCAGACTCCTGGCTGCCGGCATGTGTGCTGGCAGGGCTGAGGACAAGCAGGAGGCAGACCCGAGAGCCCCAGAGGCAGGAGGGCTGGGGCAGCCTGGGCTGGGGCCGCTGCCTGCAAAATCCTTCTTGGGTAACCCTGAGCTCAGGGTCGCTGTTCGCTCCAAAGGCAGTGTGGCCTCCCTTTTGGTCCTCCCATCTGCCTGGGGCTTGCCCACCGGATCCTTAGCACCTCTGTTTTCTCCGAGGCAGCAGGGCCTTTACAGATTGTCTCATCTCTCTCAATTTTTAGAGGACAAAACGGGACACAAGAAGGCAGGCGTCTGGTGCAGCACTGAAGACATCCGCTGGGAAGCCCACATACCACATCAGAGAGTCTGGGCTTCAGTTCTTGCTCTGCTGTTGATTCCAGCTTCCTGCTAATGTGCACCCTGGGAAGCAGCAGGTGATGGCTCGGGTAGTTAAGTCCCTACCATCCATGTGGGAGACTTGGATTGAATTCCAGTCTCCTAGCTTCAGCCTGGCCCAACCCTGGCCATTGCAGGCCTTTAGGAAGTAAACCAGCAAATGGAAGATCTTCTCTCTGTGTCTTTCTCTCTCTCCATTTATCTCTCTGCTTCAAAATAAAGTAACTTCAAAAAAGATTTTTTAAACCAAAAATATGTTCTATTTAGTGACTGTCTGCTCTGCCCCAACCTGCCTGTGGCCCTCTGCATGCATCCTCTCATTTTAGCCGCATAACCACCTTGAGAGGTTGTGCCACTACTCTCCCATCTCACAGATTAGGAAACTGAGGCTCAGAAAGTTCCAAAAGACATGCACAAGGCAAACAGCAGCAGAACTGAAGCAGGTCCCTTCTGTCTTCCTATGGCTCAGGCACAGCACTCACCCTGCAGAGCCGCCTGGAGGTGGTGGGGGCTGGGAGGCTGGCTCTGGCTGGGTGCTGGAGATATGAACTCTCCAAGGGAGCACACTCAGTTGTGCTCAGTTGTGGCCTGGGTGGCTGCCATGCCCAGTCAGCTTCTAGCTGGCAGGTGTTGACCGTAATGGCGTGGCTGTGCAGCAGAGCCTTCTGGGAAGGTGGATTGCACTGACGAAGCCTGGGAAACCTGATGCTTAGTCTAGTCTGCACTTCTTTCCTTTTGGATTAGGGCTCTTCACCCACAGGGTCCAATGTGACAGCCCTGGGAAGCAGGGCAGGGCAGGTGGAGTCCCTGGCTGGTGTCCCCACTGTGTTGTCACACGGACGGTGCTCAATCATTGTTGGCTACAATCAAAAGAATTTGAAAGGGTTTAAATAGGCATGTCTCCAAAAAAGATATACAATGGCCAATAAATACATAAAAAGATGCTCAACATTACTAATTATTAGGAAAATGCAAATCAAAGCCATAAGGATATACCACTTCACACCCACTAGAATAGCTGTAATAAAAAAAGATAGGGGCTGGCATTGTGGTGTAGCAGGTTAAGCTGCTGCCTGCAACTCCAGCATCCCATATGGGCGCCGGTTCAAGTCCCAGTTGCTCCACTTCCGATCCAGCTCCCTGCTAATGCACCTGGGAAAGCAGTGGAAGATGGGCAAACTGTTTGGGCCCCTGCTACTTACTTGGGAGACCTAGATGGAGTTCCAGGCTCCTGGCTTTGACCTGGCCCAGCCCTGGCTGTTGTGGCACTTGGAGAGGGAACCAGCAGATGGAAGATATCTCTCTCTCTCTCTCTCTGTCTTCCTTTCTCTTTGTAACTCTGTAAAGTAAATGAAAAAAAAGATGGACAATAGTAAGTATCGGTGAGGCTGTGAAGAAATCGGAGCCCTCATCCACTGCTGGTAGAAGCAGAATCATGGCAGTTCTTCAGACAGGTTAAGCTAAGTCAATCACAGATTCTGCAGTTTCTCTGCAGAGAACTGAAAACATTGCTCACTGTCCACAAAAGACTGTATAGCAATGTTCTTAGCAACATTATTCATAATACTCAAAAGCAGAAACAATCCAAATGTCCCTCAAATAACGAAGGGCTAAACCAAATGTGGTATGTCCACACAATGGAATATTACACACTCATAAAAGGGAAGGAAGGCTGATATACTCCTCAACATGAATGACACTCAGAAACATCGTGCTAAGTGGAAGAATCGAGATGGGAAAGACCTCCTATTATACGTTTCATTGTACGAAATGTCCAGAAAAGGGAGCCCAAAAGGACCCAAAGCAGAGGAGGGGGATTGGGAAGTGATAGACAATGAGAATGGGGTGATGAAAGTGTTCTAGAATTAGACAGTGGTGATGGGCGCACAGCTCTGTGAGTATACTTACACACTGGGCTGCACGCTCACGGAACAGAGTTATGTATCAATCACATATTTAAATGAGTCTAACCAGAAATAAGAACAAAAGAAGGGACAGAGGAAAGAAGGGAGGGGAGGCATGAGGGAGGGGAGAATGGTCAGATGGCTCAATGGGGATGAGATGGGGAGGCCCAGAATTACGAAATACTTTTTCCAGGTCACAGGGAGAGATGTCATCCCTGCTGGTGCAAACGTGATGAGAAGGACCCCGACGGCTCCTGCTTGTTGAGCACGTCCACTCTCCTGTGTCTGGCAGTGTGTGGGCGCCTCCACGTGCACGACCTCATTGAGTTCCTTCCGTGGCCCATGTGACAAGCACATTAGCATTCTAAGTGTACAGATGAGGAAACTGGCTGGGAGACCCGCCGTGACGTGCCCAGGAGGCATCAGAGCTTACACATCAGGTCCCTCTCCAGACGGTAAGGAAGTGGCTGTATGTGACCCAGTTTTTGTTTATTCATTTGCATGACAGCCCCATGCTCAACACCAGCAGACAGACAGGAATGTGAGTAGGTGCTGCTGCTGCTGCTGCAGCCCCCAGGCTGCCGGGGCCCAGGGAGGGGCGCCCTGGCACTCAGCTCCACAGCTCCACGCAGGTCCCCAGGCTCGGGCCAGCCCCCTTAGGGGCAGCAAACAGCATGCACCCAGTCAGCTGAGGAGCTCAGCTGACTCTGGCCCAAAATCTTTGGGTTTTGGATAAACAAGAGCTGCCTCGTTTCACCTCTGTGTGACCTTTCTATGCCCCAAGGACCCAGGCCCTGGGGACTGTCCCTTGTCACCCAGCTTGTGAGAAGCCCTGGGCAACAGAGCCAGGTGCAGGCCAGCTGTGAGTGTGCTGAAGACATTTCCTTGCCAGCCCCTCTGTGAACTGCTAAGACACAGTTTGTAGGAAGCTGTCCAGTCGGGACTCAGTCCTGGCTCTGCTACCTGCTGAGTTCATCACTTGACCTTTCTGAGCCTCCATTTCTATCTGTAAAATGGGGATAAGGGCTCTTTAGGATTGTTGTGCATTATTGTAAGCCATATCATTACATTGACAGTAGGGTTCACTGAGGTGATGCATGGAATTGAGAGGCCTGACTCAAAGTTAAGACTGTACAATATCAACCCTCACTACTGTGGTGAAGCCATGAACCTAGACACAGAGCACCCTAGCCCACCCCAGGCCAGCAACCATATTTGTACACTTGCAGGCAAAGTCACCTTCCAACCCCAAAATGCAGCATCCATTGCATGTGACCATGCATTCACACATGCACACGCACACCCTCAAGCATGTCTATTCATACCCAGGGACACAGAGTTCATGATCTGAAAGCATACTGGCACATAGGCCTGCACACACACACACACACACACATGCAAACACACACTTGCCATCTCCTCCTTGCATGTGAACACGTGCGCCTGAATTTGTATTCATTCACATATGCAGGTCCTCGCCGTGGATTCGCCAATCTCAGGACCACCGGCCCAGTACTGGCCACAGCCACAGCTAACCCTGGGTTGTCCAATGGGCTCAACACTCTCCCCTCTCCGAGCCTTCGCCGCTGTTGTCCTCTTGGCCTTGCATGTCCCTCTGTCTGACCAAGCCCTCTCACCCTTCCCTGCAGGAAGCTGCCTGACAGCGCCGACCCTGGTTCCCTTTGCCTACGTTGGCCAGATTAGCCTGCCTAGTGTTATGCTTGTGTCCTCCCCAAGGAGAGCCCCTGAGTGCACTCAGGATAGTGGCCGTGGCTCGCTTGTCCCTGTGTCCCCCTCCAATGCCCAACAAGAGCGCTGGCGCTGGAAGGAGACATTGAATTTTTTTTCGAAAAGATTTATTTACTTATTTATTTGAAAGGCAAGCGTTACAGAGAGAAAGGTCTTCCACCTGCTGGTTCACTCCCCAAATGGCCACAGCAGCCAGAGCTGGACTGGTCTGAAGCCAGGAGACAGGAGCTTCTTCCAGGTCTCCCATGTAGGTGGCAGGGGCCCAAGGCATTGGGCCATCTTTCACTGCTGCTCCAGGCACATTAGCAGGGAGCTGGATTGGAAGTGGAGTGGCTGGGACTTGAACCGGTAGGAGGCGCTGAATTGAAGCCACCCATGGGGATGTGTGACCCTTTGGGGCTCCTCTCTCCTTTCTGCGCCAGTCACTGCTCAGAGGAGACCAAGTCACTGCTCAGAGGAGACGGGCCAAACCAGGCCCTGAGGCTACTTGCCCAGCTACTCACCCTAACCTGCAGGCAGATCCTGGGAGGCGGGGCTGCTCTGTGCGCCCTTCCTGGCACTGAGTTCTCCCACGGCTTTCACAAGGCACCGCTGCCTCCAGCCCCTGCTGCCCTGACCACTGGCCCCGGCCCCAACCCCAACCCCGAGAGCAAGTCCCCCCCGGGGCTTGGCTAGCGTTGGGGTGGACCTCAGGGCTTGCTCTGCCTGCTCTGGGTGACAGACTCTTACAGGCCAGGAAGGAGGCAGCTTTTGTGAGGGGCCTGAAGATCTGCCCTCCGTGTTGGAATCCCTCAGGTTGCTGGTCAGTGCAGAGTCCTGGGCTACTCCAGCCTTCCCCAGTAAGAAATGCCAAGGTGGAGCCCGGGAATCAGCACTAACAACAACCACTCTGGTTTCGTCCTGGGTGAGGGACTGAGAGCCGCTTGGCCTGTTCCAAATGTTGGCACTACCTCTCACTAGCCCTAAGACATGTCCCCAAGACACGCCTTGCTGAGCCTCCACTTCCCTATCTGTGAAGTGGGAATACGAGGGGTCGGCACTGCGGCACGGCGGGTTAAGTTGCCATCTGCAGCGCTGGCATCTCATATGGGTGCCGGCTCAAGTCCCCGGCTCTTCCACTTCAGAGCCAGCTCCCTGCTGATGCAACTGGGAAAACAAAAGAGGATGGTTCAAGTGCTTCAGTCCGTGCACCCCTGTGGGAGATCCAGGAGAAGCTCTCGGCTCCTGGTTTCAGCCTAGCCCATCCCTGGCTGTTGTGGCCACTTGGGGAGTGAACCAGTGCATAGATCTCTATGTTCTCTTTCCCTGTTTCTCCTTCTATCGCTCTAATTCTGACTTTCAAATAAATAATTAAAATATGGCCGGTGCCGTGGTTCACTTGGCTAATCCTCCGCCTGCGGTGCCGGCATCCCAGATTCTAGTCCCGGTTGGGGCGCTGGGTACTAGTCCCAGTTGCTCCTCTTCCAGTCCAGCTCTCTGCTGTGGCCTTGGAGGACAGTGGAGGATGGCTCAAGTGTTTGGGTCCCTGCACCCGCATGGGAGACCGGGAGGAAGTACCCGGTTCCTGGCTTCGGATCAGCGCAGCGCTGGCCATAGCGGCCATTAGGGGAGTGAACCAACGGAAGGAAGACCTTTCTCTCTGTCTCTCTCTCACTGTCTATAACTCTCTCTCTCTGTCTCTCTCTCTCTCACTGTCTAACTCTGCCTGGCAAAAAATTAAAAAATAATAATAATAAAAAGTAATTAAAATAAATCTTTGAAAAAAATAATTCATTAAAAAAAAAGTACATAGGGGCTGTTGCTGTGGTGCAGTGGCTTAATGCCCTGGCCTGAAGTGCCAGCATCCCATATGGGCGCCAGTTCGAGACCTGGCTGCTCCACTTCTGATCCAGCTCTCTGCTATGGCCTGGGAAAGCAATGGAAGATGGCCGAAGTGCTTGGGACCCTGTACCCACGTGGGAGACCTGGAGGAAGCTCCTGGCTCCTGGCTTCAGATCAGTGCAGCTCCGGCCGTTGCAGCCAATTGGGGAGTGAACCAACAGATGGAAAACCTCTCTGTCTCTACCTCTCTCTCTCTCTCTCTCTCTCTCTCCTCTCTCCGTGTAACTCTGACTTTCAAATAAATAAATAAATCTTTTTTAAAAAGTGTACATAAATTAAAAAAAGAAATGGGGATATGAATGGTGTCTATCTCATGGGACTGTGGTGGAAGTGAGATGCCAGGCACAGTGCCTATATGGACTCAAGCCATGCACACTGTGTCAGCCCCTTCCTCCCACCCTGGGGATTCTGAGTGAGGGGCACAGTCTCACAGTCCAATATGGAGTAAAGGCCCATAGAAAGCCTCTGGGCTGCAGGAAACCTTGGCAGGGCAGGTGTCTCAGCCAGGACGCCCTGCCACCTAGTGGCTGGGGTGTGGGACCACGCCCAGGGCTCCGGTCTCCGCAGGCTGAAGTCCAGGGCCCTGGCTAGCTGCCCACAGCTCAGACCCTGCCTCCTAGCCTATTGGCAGCCTCACTCTGTGCCCTGGCTACTCTGCCAGCCTACCTGGCTTGACACCAGCCCTGGCGCTTCTTCTGCTTTGTAATAAAATAGGTGGCTCAGCTTTCCCTGGCATGGAGGTAGGAGGGAGGGAGGGAGCCAGGGGAAAACAGGTCCTTTAACAACCTCTGGTTACACTCTGATATTCCAAGGGGGTCACTGGCCCCCCCAAACCAAGTGCCTCTCCCCCCAGGAAAGAGCCCTTCTTACTTGTCTGTCTTTCTTTCCCGGTCCTTCACCATTCACTCTTTCCAAGACTCTCATGAATGTATCCATTCATTCACTATAGAAGTGTTTGCCAGGGGCTTGGGCTCAATGGTGGTCACCAGGGATTGGCCAAGTTTTTCTGCAAAAGGCCAGCAAGTAAACATATTAGCCTTGTGGGTCAACCCACCCCCCTGTAGCAGCAAGAAAGTAGCTGTTGGGGCAGGCATTGTGGTGCAGCCTGTTAAGCTGCCACCTGCAACAGCAGAATCCCATATGAGCTCAGATTAGAGTCCCAGCTGCTTCACTTCCAGCTCCCTGAGTTGTGCCTGGGAAAGCAGGGGAAGATGGCCCAAGTACCTGGGCCTCTGCCACCCACGTGGGAGACCCAAACGGAGTTCCAGGCTCTTGAACTCGGTCTGGTGCAGCCCTGGCCATAGCAGCCATTTGGGGAGTAAACCAGCGAATACAAGATCTCTTTCTCTGTCCTTCTCTCTCTGTAACTTTGCCTTTCAAATAAATGAATGCATTTTTTTTAATAAAAAGAAAGTAACTGTTGACAATATGTAAACAAATGGGTGGATGTGGCTGTATGCCAACACGCACTTTAATTGTGGGTGTGGACACTGGAATTTCATATAATCTTCACGTGCTATAAAATAGTCTTTCAATTTTTTTAAACCATTTAAAAATGTAAAAACTCTTCTTAGTTTGCAGGCCATAGAAAAGAGGCTATGGCCAGTGGGCCCGAGCTTGCTAGCCCTGAGCTGAGGATCCTGGAGGCAAGACTGCAGCGTGTGCCACGCCCCATCTGTGCCACTACTTCTAAAGGAATTAAGACCTTTGAAGACAGGCCAGCATTTTAAGCTGCGTTTGTGAAGCCAACATCCCATATCAGAGCGCTGGTTCGCATCTGATCCAGCTCCCTGCTGATGTGCCTGGGAAGGCGGGGGAAGATGGTCCAAGTGCTGGGGTACTGTCACCCAATGGGAGACCCAGAAGAAGCTCCTGGCTTCAGCCTGGCACATCCCTGATGCAGTCTGGGGAGTGAACCAGCTTCTTTGCCCCCTGCACAACCATCCCGCTGTCCTTCCCAAACCAGCCCTCATGGACACCTGGGCACAGGAGTATGTGCACGTGAGGAGCTCTGAGCTCTTCCGCTCCAGGGACAGCTGTGGAGGAGGATAAGGCTGCCCCACTGGAATTGAGCCAGTGGGCGCCCACCTCACCTGCCAGCTGTGGTCCGTGGGGGTGGGCAGGCTGCTCAGGAGAAGCTCATAGAGCTTCTCAGCCACTAAGCTGAACACCTTGATCTTCCAGTCGCCTCTAAAACACCCCCAGGTACATGTCCAGCCTGCTCTGCCTTCCAGAACAGCACCCCTCTGTCCCCTCTAAGAGCTCTACTGCCTTATCTGGGTTCAATCTTTCAAAGCCTCATCTCTTTGTGAAGTGTTACTACTTATTAAGGTTTTATTTATTTATTTATTTTTTTGACAGGCAGAGTGGACAGTGAGAGAGAGAGAGACAGAGAGAAAGGTCTTCCTTTGCCGTTGGTTCACCCTCCAATGGCCGCCGCGGCCGGCGCGCTGCAGCCAGCGCACCGCACTAATCCGATGGCAGGAGCCAGGAGCCAGGTGCTTTTCCTGGTCTCCCATGGGGTGCAGGGCCCAAGCACTTGGGCCATCCTCCACTGCACTCCCTGGCCACAGCAGAGAGCTGGCCTGGAAGAGGGGCAACCGGGACAGAATCTGGCGCCCCGACCGGGACTAGAACTCGGTGTGCCGGCGCCGCTAGGCGGAGGATTAGCCTAGTGAGCCGTGGCGCTGGCCTTAAGGTTTTATTTTGCAGTGTTCCTTCCACTTGAATTTAAGCTCATCAGGGGCCAGATCCGTCTGCTCTAATTCTTATGACTGCCCTTTCAGGACAGAGATTCCTGACGAGTCCCATAGATGAACACACCGAGGTCACCCAGTTAGTGAGTGGCAGAATGAGGCTTCAAGGCCAGGTCTGCCTGGCACTCCAAAGCTTGCTTCTGAGCCTCCACACGCTGGGGGTGCATGGGCTTGGGGTCCTGCAGTCTGCTCCCAGCAGCAGGAGGCGTTTCTAGGAGCCCTGGGAATGTGCTGTGTGGCTGCTGTGGGAGGCAAAGCCAGGGGGGCTGCACTCTCGCCCTCCTGGAGCTTCGTGGATTAGACAAAGATTTCTGATATATTTTAGTTTTTTCACTGCAATGCAGGCTGCACTGAGAGCTAAAAAGGGATACAAAGTGGTTTAGGGGTCACCATCTCATTTGCTCAGGCTGTTGTAGCAAAATACCAGACAGCAAAGGCCACTAGAAGGAGCCTGCTTAAGAGTCGACTGGTAAGGGCTCCTGACAGCTAAGGCCTAGAGTGTTTTGAGGAAGAACAGAGGTGGTGAGAAGGTAAATTGAGGCCAAACTATAAAAGGGCTTAGACAACAGAAATGTATTTCTCACTGTTCTGTTCTTGGAAGATCAAGACCGAAGTGCCAGCCAAACCAGGGCCTGGAGAGTTACCTCTTCCTGGCTCACAGTCAGCCTCCTTCCTACCGCACTCAGATAGCAGAAAAGAGATCATTATCTCCCACGACTATTATTTTTTTTCTTAAAAACTGTTCACAAAAAAATTTTTTTGGGGGGAGCAATGCATGGCACAGCAGATTAAGCTTCTGATAGTGATGTTGGCATACTATATTGGAACACCAGTTCAAGTCTTGGCTGCTCTGCTCCCAACCCAGCTTCCTGCTAATGCACCTGAGAAACAAGCAGATGATGGCTCAAGTGCCTGGGTTCCGTATGCCCACGTGGGAGACCAGGCTGAAGCTCCTGGCTCCCAAATTCAGCCTTTCCCAGCCCTGCCTATTGTGTCCATTTGGGGAGTGAATCAGCAGATGGAAGATCAGTTTCTCTTTCTCCCATTCCCTCTCCCCATTTCTCTCTTGCGTTCTACCTTTCAAATAAATAAAGACATCTTCAAAAAATTTTTTTAATTTGAGAAGCGGAGACAGAGAGAGAGAGAGAGAGAGAGAGAGGCTGTTCCTATCCACTGGTTCACTCCTCAAGTACCTACAACAGCTAGGGCTGAGCTGGGGCTAAAGCTGAGATCTGGAAACTCAATCCAGGTCTCCCACATGGGTGGCAGGAATCTAATCCCCTGAGCCACCGCTGCTGCCTCCCAGAGTCTGCATTAGCAGGAAGCTGGAGTCAGGATCTGGAGCTGGGCATTGAACCTAGGCACTCTGACATGGGATGCAGGTGTGTCAGCCAGCATCTTACCTACTGGGTCAAATGCCTGCCCCTCATGCTTCATCAATCCCATCATGGGGGCTGTGAAGACCTGGTTGCCTTCCCAAGCTGTAACATATGTATTTTGAGGGGACCCAAACATTTAGTCCAAAGCAGGTGCTTACTGGAATATTCAGGAAGGTTAGGACAGTGGGGTCTTGGCGGGTGGGGGGGGGGGAACAGGAGTGCTGGCAGGAAGACACTTTGGGCAGAGAGGTTGGCAGGAGCAAAGGCAACAGGACGGTGCCTGAGGACCAGCAAGGGCTCCCGTGGCTAGGGCCTAGGGTGTCCTGGGAAAGGACGGTGACCGTGTGCAAGGTGAACAGAGGGTGGGCTGGGGCCAGACCATGAAAGGCCTAAAAGAGATGAGGAAAGAACTGGGCTCCCTACGACCTGCAGAATCAATATTGCATGAACATTCTAGGAGGCCAGTGTTTTGGACTAAGCACCCACACTGGGCCCCAACAGACCACACTACAAATCACAGTGGGGTCAGCCATGCTAAAGCTCCATGTCATCAGAGCAAAACTAAGTGGTCTTCCGTTATCAGGAGAATGCCAACAACCAAACCTCACAAATAGGCTCGATTCACTCAGCATCACCCCCAAGCTCCCTCTGCCTTCATCCTTACACAGGGACGGTTACGTGAAGTAACTGTTAGCCAATCAGTTACTTTTCTGTTGTCCTGCCTTCCTTTCTCTGGCTTCCGAGGAAAGTTACTTTGAAGCAAACAGTATGCTTTTTGTCCTCTTTGCCTTTTCAGCCCTCCTCTGTCTGTCAAACCAACGTCTTCTGCACAGCCCACTGGAATACTGGTTCTACTTTACGGAATGCAGCATAGCCTGGTTCTGGAATCGCGAGTGAGCTCAGTGAAGATCTCCGTGCTGCCTTGTCAGTGACTGTGCACGTTGGGTGCTTCAGCCTCACAAAGCTTTTCCAGTCCCTTCTTCCTGTCTGCTCTCACAGTTCCTAGCATACAGGCTGGAGCAGGAGCCTGGCTGGGGTCACCAGCTGTATAAATGGGAACAATCACTGCACCTCTCACTGCTCTTTGACAACGTGACTCCATTCTCAGAGCTTTAGGAAATTTCACAAACCCGTGTGTGTGAAAATGCTGCGTTTAACTTCCGGTCTTCCGTTCTCTCTCTGTAACACGAGGACAACTCCTGGCAACCTAATTGAGAGGTTGTGGCTGCGTTTTTGTAAACCAGTGCCAAAGGCAAGATTCAGGATAAACCCTGGTGAGTTGGTTTCCCTTTTGGCAGATGAGTCCAGAGAAGTTAAGTGTTTCTTGGTCGGTGAGCTGGGCTTTGGTTACTTTTACTGTGTCTCTTAGCACTGGTCACATTTAACTCATTTGGGATAAAGAGTGAGAAACGCACCACCAAATGAGAAGGGAGAAGAACCTAAGCGCAGGCGCACTGACAGAGCCCGCTTACAGGATCGGAACTTCCGTGTCCCGCCCCCGTCGTCTCAAAGTGACCAATCAATGAGCGAGTCTTTCCGTGACGCCATCTTCTCGCGACGAAGCTGGTTGGCGGCGGTGTTTCCTGGTGCCAGAACCGAGGGGCCGAGGCCATGGGCAGTCAGGAGGTACTGGGCCAAGCGGCCCGGCTAGCCTCCTCGGGGCTCCTCCTACAGGTACACTCTGCCCGGCCGGCTCCACCCTCACGGCAGGCGGGATTCGCGGGGGAGGAGACCCGGCGGCCCCTGAGAGCTCGCCTCCGGGCAGACACATCTTCCCTGGGGACCCTTCTGTGGAGAGGGGGTTAGTAGGAGATCGTGGTAGGGGTGAGGGGCGCCTGAGCCCAGAGTTGGGAGCCTACTTCAGAGTTGTGGCTAGGCGGCTGCGTACAAGCGCCTTTCCTCCTGAGTATCGTATTTCCCGTAGGACAGAAAGAGAGAGAGAAAGATCAGGTGGCGGGAGGGGTGGCATTTCGTGCTGGAGAATCTTGTGTTTTTAAGGCAAGGGGGTCATTTTCTCCATGTCTCACTCCAGAGCCTCAAACTCTGGCTCCCCCTGAGTTCAGAGAGACCATATGGTATAGCTAAGAACGCGGATTTGGGCTCAGTCAGGTCTGGACAGGAACTTCAGTACTTGATGCGTGACTGAGGACGAGTGACAGCACCTTCAGACCGTCAGCTCTTCATTGGTAAAATGGGAGTGTTAATAGCAGGTCATCAGCTTGTGGCAGGGATTGATTGGGGTCATTCAAATCAACGTCCTTGCCACAGTTCCTGGCTTTGTAGTATGCACGTAATAAACGTTGGCTACATACTTCCTCTGTGTGATCTTGGACACAGCACTTCACCCTCTTGGCCCTGATTTTTCTCCTCTGTAAGATAGGATACAGGCCTGCCTCATGCAAAGTCCGAATCCACCCTCCACTTTGCCTTGCAGGAACATCTAGATTAGGCGGACTTGGGTTTGCTAGATGGCGGCCCTTGGGAAAATCACTTGACTTCTCTGAGCATCAATTTCCTCATTTTAAATGAGAACTGTGATGCAATCTCATAGTCATTAAGAGGATTAGATGAGGCCATGCCTGTTAAGTGCCTAGCACATTACAAGTAAATACATGTTAGCTTTATTTATTTATTTATTTTTTTACAGGCAGAGTGGACAGTGAGAGAGAGACAGAGAGAAAGGTCTTCCTTTGCCATTGGTTCACCCTCCAATGGCCGCCACAGCCGGCGCACCGCGCTGATCCGATGGCAGGAGCCAGGTGCTTCTCCTGGTCTGCCATGGGGTGCAGGGCCCAAGCACTTGGGCCATCCTCCACTGCCCTCCTGGGCCACAGCAGAGAGCTGGCCTGGAAGAGGGGCAACTGGGACAGAATCCTGCGCCCCGACCTGGACTAGAACCCGGTGTGCCGGCGCCGCATGGCGGAGGATTAGCCTAGTGAGCCGCGGCGCCAGCCCAGCTTTATTTTTTATTGTGGTAATAAGGATCTTCTAAATGGTCACTGAAGGAATGAAATGATATAGTCTACCTAACACTAGAAAAGAGTGCATCTGATATGTGAGCCATCTTCACCCAACCCTGTTTACCCAGCTTTTTTTTTTTTTTTTTAAGATTATTTATTTGAAAAACAGAGTGACAGGGGGAGGGTGTGAGAGTTTTCCATCTGCTGGTTCTCTCCCCTAGTGGCCACAACCCCTGGGGCTGGGCCAGGCTGAGGCCAGGAGCCAGGAACTCCATCTGGGTCTCCTACTTGGTTGGCAAGGGCACAAGCACTTGGACCATCTTTTACTGTCTTCCCAGGAACATTAGCAGGGAGCTGGGTCAGAAGCAGAGCAGCTGGGACTGGAACTGGTACTCTGATAATGGGACACCTGTATCGCCAGCAGCGCTTAACCTGCTGCACCACAATGCTGGCCCCTACCCAGGTTCTTTTTCTGTTTCACAACATGAATAACTTGAGTTCAGTGCTTTATCCACAATGCTGATTTTTTTTTCAACCTTTGATGATACCTTTCTATTACTGGCTTTGTTAAAAAGAGTTGAGGCCGGTGCTGCGGCTCACTAGGCTAATCCTCCACCTGCGGCACTGGCACCCAGGGTTCTAGTCCCAGTTGGGGCACTGGATTCTGTCCTAGTTGCTCCTCTTCCAGTCCAGCTCTCTGCTGTGGCCCGGGAGGGCAGTGGAGGATGGCCCAGGTGCTTGGGCCCCTGCACCTGCATGGGAGACCAGGAGGAAGCACCTGCTCCTGGCTTCGGATCGGCGTAGCGCCGGCTGTAGCGGCCATTTGGGGGGTGAACCAACGGTAAAAGGAAGACCTTTCTGTCTGTCTCTCTCACTGTCCACTCTGCCTATCAAAAAAAAAAAAAAAAAAAAAAAAAAAAAGAGTTGAAATAGAAAACGTACTGGTTTAGGAGTCAGGTGGCCTACCTTTACCAGCTAGGTTACTTGTTGGCATTTTAACTGGGCAAGTTGCTTCTTGCCGAATCTTACTTGCTTTCTCTGCATTTTCCTAGTTATTTTTAAGGGTCAAAAATCAACAAATGTGAAAAATTCTTTTTCAGACTGTAAAGTCCTTTCAGAAGTAAGTGAAAACTGTTGCTATTAAGATCACTTTGGCCGGCGCTGCGGCTCACTAGGCTAATCCTCCGCCTTGTGGCGCCGGCACCCTGGGTTCTAGTCCCGGTCAGGGCGCCGGATTCTGTCCCAGTTGCCCCTCTTCCAGGCCAGCTCTCTGCTGTGGCCAGGGAGTGCAGTGGAGGATGGCCCAAGTGCTTGGGCCCTGCACCCCATGGCAGACCAGAAGCACCTGGCTCCTGCCTTCGGATTGGTGCAGTACGCCGGCCGTGGCGGCCATTGGAGGGTGAACCAACGGCAAAGGAAGACCTTTCTCTCTGTCCACTCTGCCTGTCAAAAAAAAAAATCACTTTGAAGGGCAACTACTGGGTAGCATGACCTTTCTTAGTGAAAACCTTTATCTAAACCATTTAGGAAATAGGTGTAGGGTCAGAGATATGTTTCTTGAACAGTGGTAACTTTGAAGGTAGCATAATTGTGTATGTGGATTTTTCTTTTTAAAATTTATTTATCTGAAAGGCAGAGTGACAGAAAGAGGGGGAGAGACAGAGCTTCCATCCGTGATTCACTCCCTAGATGGCCGTAACAGCCAGATCGTAGTCAGGCCAAACCCAGGAGCCTGGAACTCCATCCTGGTCTCCCACGTTTGTGGCGTGGCCCAAGTAGTTCCACTGCCTGCCCATTAACACATTAGCTGGAAGCTGGATCAGAAGTGGAGCAGCTGGGTCTCAAACCAGCACTCCAATATGGGATGCTGACATCACAAATGGCCGAGTACCTGCTGCACCATAACACTGGCCCCTGTGTACCTGCTTTTAAAAAAATAGCCCTGATGTTTCAGTTTCTTGAGTGTTTTGATTCAGCGTTTCACAAATTACAATATAACTACTTAAGGTAACTTTGCAGTTAACATTTTATTCTGCAAGAATTTGAGTGTTTATTCTGTCTTAACTCAATCTGCCTTTCATTTCTACAGATTTTTAAAAAATACTTTTAACCTTTACAGTCTCATTTGATGCTGTGATCGGTCCTATGAGATGGGAAACCTCACTTGACAGAGCAGGATATTGAGACTTAGCACAGTTAGAACCTGATGGGTGTAAAAGGTAAATGGTGAGTTGAGGCTCTCAGCCGAATGCTTTCTCCAGCCAAGACTCCATGAGCTGGTCCCAAGCCTTTAGAGAACAGCACTTGCTTTGTATGTGTGTGCACGCATGTTTGTTTGTTTGTTTCTTTCTTTCTTTCTTTTTTTTTTTTGAAAGGCAGAGTGGACAGTGAGAGAGACAGAGAGAAAGGTCTTCCTTTGCCATTGGTTCACCCTCCAATGGCTGCCGTGGCTGGCGCGCTGCGGCTGGCTCACTGCGCTGATCTGAAGCCAGGAGCCAGGTGCTTATCCTGGTCTCCCATGGGGTGCAGAGCCCAAGGACTTTGGGCCATCCTCCACTGCCTTCCCAGGCCACAGCAGAGAGCTGGCCTGGAAGAGGGGCAACCGGGACAGAACCCGGCACCCCGACTGGGACTAGAACCCGGGGTGCCGGCGCCGCAGGCAGAAGATTAGCCTAGTAAGCGCGGCGCCGGCACACGTTTCTAAAGAGAAGCTACAGAGCTTTTGTCAGTTTCTCAAAAGATCACCGTTGACTCAATAAAAATGGGCGTGGTGATATCTTGGCTTTGGAGACCTTGCTGCTCTGTGACACTTTAGGAAGAGTGTGACTTTGCTGTCACTCTTTGGTCATATCCTTCCCTAGACATTTCAGACCACGGTAGTCCATTGCTGTACTCTAACCTTCCGGATTGCAGCTCTTGGCAGATAGCCGTGAGAGTGCTCACCACAGGAAGTGAGCTGTCCGTTGCTGCTGGGATGCAGCAGGGAGTCACTTGGTGAGTGGACTTGCAGTGCACTCAGCATCCCCATTTAGCAATCCTCTTTAATTGCAGCTGTGTATTTCTCTATGTCTCATGGGAAGAATTCTTTACTTAGGTGGTTTTCTTGCACTGACTGATTTGGAAGTCTTACCATATGTCGTTTTCAAATGACAGTAGCTGGACTGTGTCTCTCTCCACCCTCCTACTTATTGTTGCCATTGTCTTTTTTTTTTTTTTTAGATTTATTTATTTATTTAAAAGTCAGAGTTACACACAGTGAGAAGGAGAAGCAGAGAGAGGGAGAGACGTCTTCTATCTGCCAGTTTACTCCCCAGTTGGCTGCAACAGCTGAAACTGTGCCGATCAGGAGCCAGGAGCTTCCTCGGGGTCTCCCACATGGGTGCAGGGCCCAAGCACTTGGGCCATCCTCCACTGCCTTCCCAGGCCACAGCTGAGAGCTAGACTAGGAGAGGAGCAACCAGGACAGAATCTTGTGCCCCAACCGGGACTAGAACCCCGAGGTGCCAACAGCGGTGGCCCTCTTTTTTTTTTTTTTTAAGATTAATTTATTTATTTGAGAGGCAGAGCTACAGAGAGGCAGAAGCAGGGAAAGAGAGAGAGAGGTCTTTCATCTGCTGGTTCAATCCCCAGATAGCCACAATGGCTGGACCTGAGTCTCTCTGAAGCTGGGAGCAAGGAGCTTTTTCCAGGTTCCACATGGGTGCAGGGGCCCAAGGACTTGGGTCATCTTCTACTGCTTTCCCAGGCCATAGCAGAGAACTGGATCAGAAGAGGAACAGCCAGAACTCGAACTGGCACCCATATGGGATGCTGGCACTGCAGGCAATGGCTTTACCCACTATGCCACAGCAATGGCCCCCAGTAGTTTCTGTTTCTAAACACACCAGAAGGTTTGGTCCAAGGGGCTGGGCAATGTGGACCACTAATTAGAATTCTCTTTCTGTTTCCTGGAGGGCTTGACTTTGGAACCAAAGAAATTCACTGAATCTATGGGGGCCTGCCTCTTCCTGTCAGCAACTCAGGGAGATTTCCAAGAGCCTCCCTGGATTCTTTGACTACGCACAGGAGTGCTGAGAGATGCCAAGGAATGCAATTGCAGAAGAAACAAGTGCCTTAGAGGACAGTGCAGGACAAAGCTTCAGTATATCATCCTGTCGTGTTAGGAGGAGCCGCCATGTTGTCCTCATGTGAGCAGAGTCAAGGTTCCCAACACAGCTGACCCTTACATGTTTTTCTCTTTCCATAGGTGTTGTTTCGGTTGATCACCTTTGTCTTGAATGCCTTTATTCTTCGCTTCCTGTCCAAGGAAATCATTGGCATAGTAAATGTAAGGTGAGAGAGGCTGCCCCCGGGCACTGTCCATAGCTCACACCCCTCGCCAGGTAGGCTTCAAACTGTGCCCCTGTGTGTGCCAGAAGCCGAGTGTTTTGGCAGTGGGCTGAGGAGGAGCATGTAGGGGCGGGGGGCATGAGCAGGTGGCGTCGCTGGACCCACAGAGTGTTTTCCGTTAGTAGCTTCCAAATGCACGTTTCTCTGCCAGCTCTTAGACGTCGGGAGCAGAGTGGGAGTAATTCACTGCAAGGCTGGTCTCAGGTACAATCCTGCGTTTTTGTCCTGCTGACGGCAGAGGAAGCAGGAATTGTGTGTGTCGTGAGGATGTGCTTCGTGATTGCAGGTCTGGAGCAGCCGCCTTCCTGCCCGCCTCAGTGATTCTGTCACTGGGCCACAGTTCCTGGATGGGAGCTTCGCGCTTGTGTTAGTCCTCGGAGGCTTTTGGGTAGCTGACTGGCTTTGTATTTGAGACGCAACTTATTTCTCCTCCTTTCCTGTTTGCTATTCAAGGACACCCACACTTATTTTATATTCACAAATGACACAAAAGTGTATGAAATTATGTGAGTGCTTGGAATAGCTCGGCTTTCGGGTGTGTCTTCATGTCCTGGTAAACAGACAGTATGTTCTAGACAGCACTTCATGTCTGGTACTTACCTAGCATATGCGCTTGGCTCTGTTCTCAGAGCTCAGTGGCAGTTCTCAGACTAGGACAGACCAAGGAGTCTTCGGAGGAACTTTGCACTAGGTAGAGCTGAGGAAGGACCCAGGAACCTGCAAAGAGGCCTTGAAGTAGGGACCACACTTTGAGAAATGCTGCTTTAAAAAAAAATTATTTGGGAGCTGGTGCTATGGTGCAGCAGGTTAAAGCCATGGCCTGCAGTGCTGGCATCCCATATGGGCGCTGGTTTGTGTCCTGGCTGTTGTACTTCTGATCCAGCTCCCTGCTAATGTGCTTGGAAAAGCAGCAGAGGATGGCTCAAGTGGTTGGGCTCCTACATTCACATAGGAGACCCAGATGAAACTTCTGGCTCCAGACTTCGGCTTGGCCCAGCTCTGACTGTTGGGGCCATTTGGAGAATGAACCAGCAGATGGAACATGTCTGTCTGCTTCCTTCTCCCTCTCCCTCTCCCTCTCTCTGCCTTTCAAATAAATAAATAAATCTAAATTTTAAAGAATTATTTTCATTTATTTAAAACACAGAAGCAGAGAGACAGAAACAGATCTTCCATTCAGTGGTTCAATCTCAAAATGTCTGCAACAGCCGGGGTTGGGCCAGGCTGAAGCCAGGAACCAGGAACTCAGTCTGGGTCTCCCACATGGGTGGCAGGGATCCAACTGCATGAACCATCACTGCTGCCTCCAAAGGTACACATTAGCAGAAAGCTGGATTGGAAATGAAGCCAGGACTCGAACCCGAGCTCTCTGATACGGATGCAGGCATTCCAAGTAGCATCTTATCTGATGTACCAAGTACCTGCCCCAGAAATGCTGTTCTAAGAGCAGGAGGGAAGGGGCCAGATCCTCTTGGATGCTCACATCTTCCTTCTCATGTAGCCTCCCCCAGATGTAGATGTCCCTGCTTTGACAGCGCTGGTGTGGCCTGTCCCCTACTTGAGGTATGGTTCCATCTCTTCTTTGAGATGTTCAGTAGAGGCACTGGGTAGCAGGCAATCCTTGGACATCCTCAGAACCCTTAACTCTGGGCCGTCTTTGCTGTGCCTCTTGGGGAAGGGAAACCTCAAGCTTTTGCTCACTAAGGTGCTGCCCACTAGGAGGGACCTAGGTGAGCCTTGCGGGTCTGGGTTTGCAGCAGCTTGTGTAATGGCTGCCAGCCTGGCTGCCTGTCCTGAGATTCTTTTGGCCAAAACCTCTACTCAGTAAGGCCCTCGCTTCCCTCACAGCAGTTGTCAGTCTCAGAGTGATCAAGAGGTGTGTTTGTTGTTTGGTGTCATGGTCTTGTCCTTCGCTCTCCTTGTGGTCAGGGCCAAGCCTCTACCCTTAGCCACAAAACCTGCAGACTTTGGGGACCCTGCAGCAGTTTCTGTCTCTCTGTGGCCGCACACTCCGGTATCCATTGTGTGATTCCTATTTTTCTTGTTTTGTGGATCATACTGGTGTGGTGGTCCTAGAAGAGCCCACCGCCCTCCACATCCCCACTAGTGGGTTGCCACTAAGCCCTTTTCTCCTCCTTGTTCCTGGAAAAATCCCAGAAGCTCTCTCTGTGAGAAAACTGGAACCCATACTGATCCCTGCTTTTCCTTTACAGGCTAACACTGCTTTACTCGACCACGCTCTTCCTGGCCAGAGAGGCCTTCCGCAGAGCCTGTCTTAGTGGGGGTACCCAGCGAGACTGGAGCCAGACCCTCAACCTCCTGTGGCTAACGTGAGTTGTGCTTTGTCATGAGACAAGGTTCCGGAAGGCAAGCGCAGCTGTTGTCATCATGAAGCAGCAGCGTCCACCTAATGCTGAGTTGTCTGCAGATTCAGTCTTGCAGTGGAGTTCTGGGGGCCAGGCATGCAGCCAGAAGGGAGGAGTGTCTGCGTGGGAGGAGCTTCTTGGCTCATTTTCTCTCTAGATGTTCAGGAGCCAGGGGGAGGTTCCAGGCCTGATTTCTTGCTGTGGTTCTTTGGAAGTTGTTTCTGCTGTCCCCACACTGGGTCTCACTCAGCTTGTGCTATCCTTTGAATACCTAACCCTTTTGGCTTATGTTCTCTTCTGAGCTTTTAACAACTGCATAGTCCTGGTAGCTTTAAAATTTTTAGATGTTTTTACTTTTTTTTTTTTAATTTATTTGAGAGGCAAAGAGAGAGAAAAAGAGCTCCCATCCACTGGTTCGTTCCTCAAATGCCACAAGTAGGGCTTAGCCAAACTGAAGCTGTGAACCTGGAACTCATTCCAGGTCTCCCCTGAGGATGGCAGGGGCCCAACTACTTGGGCCATTACCTTCTGTTTCCCAGGGTCTCCATCAGCAGGAAGCTGGAATTGCAATCAGAGCCAGATGTACACCCAGGCATTCCAATATGGGCTGTGGATGTCCCAGGCTGTGGATGTCCCAGTCAGTGTTTCACTGCTTGGCCAAATGCCTGTCCTCATGAAAGCTTTTTAGGGGGTTCCTTAAATCTTTCTTCAATTCTGTTATGTGATTTCCCTTCTGAGCCTTTTAAAGTATTCTTTTTTTTTTTAATTTAAAGATTTATTTATTTATTTGAAAGGCAGAGTTAGAGAGAGACGGAGGCAGAGAAAGATATCTTCCATCTTCTGGTTCACTTCCCAGATGGCCACAATGGCCAGAACTGGGCTGATCCGGAGCCAGGAGCCAAGGGCTTCTTCCAGATCTCCCACATGAGTGCAGGGGCCCAAGCACTTGAGTCATCTACTGCTGCTTTCCCAGGAGCATTAGCAGGGAGCTAGATCGGAAGTGGAGCAGCCAGGATTCGAACCGGCACCTATTTATTGTATGCCGGCCTCACAGGCAGCAGCTTTACCCCATATGCCACAGTGCGTGCCCCTTAGAATGTTCTTGAAGACCAAGTACATCAGTTGAAAACTGTAATGACTTTTCAGCAGCTAGATGCATGCAGGCAGGGCTAGTGGTAGAGGTTGTTTCCCAATGTTGCCCTTGCGTAACTCCTTATTGCCTCATGGACTTGACTGTCATATTTATGAGTGTTCATTTTATTAGAGGAATGACTGTTAACTGTTCAGTCATGTTTAAAAGTGCATTGTGGGACATGTGTAAAAGGATACCGTGCACCAGACTGTTGGTTGTTTTGGGTGCAAGAACCGGCTGTGTGCAGTCTGTCGGCCATTCCAAGCACAGACAAAAGGCATTTTATTTTTGGGAATGTTGTTTATCACATCAGTATAAGCCAGTGGATAGGAGTGAAGGCTTTGGAGTTGGATCAGGATTGGGTCCAGTTTTGCCTTTGAGTAAACTGTTCATGACCTTGGTCAAATGACCCTTGCCTGTCAGCCTGTTTCCTCACCTTTTTTTGTTGTTGTTGTTTAATTTTTTCTTAAAACTGACTTGAAAATGTTATAGAGGGAGATACAGAGAGACTATCTCATCTAGGTTCACTCTCTAGATGGCCACAATGACCGGGGCTGAGCCAGGCCAGAGCCAGGAGCCAGGAGCTTCATCTTGGTCTCCCACCTGGGTGGCAGGGCACAAACATCTGAACCATTTTCCACTGCTTTCCCAGGCCATAGCAGAGAGCTGAATCAGAAGTGGAGCAGCCGGGACTCGAACCGGCGCCCATATGGGAAGCTGGTACTGCAGGCCGCGGCTTTACCCTCTACACCACAGTACCAACCCTTCCTCATCTTTTAAGTGGGGATAATGGCAGCAGGGATAATGGCAGCAGATTATGGTGAAGTGTCACTGGAGTAAAGGTTAAGGATCACAGTTTTTGGCCTGTAGTTAGGGCCTTGACAAATGCTTGCTGTTTTTGTTATGACCGTCTCGTTTTTGTTCAGTGTTGCTAGTTTGATATATATTTTATTTTACAATTTAGTGTATTAAAAAACATTATTTCCCCTCTTTTAGAGTCCCCCTGGGTGTGTTTTGGTCCTTGTTCCTGGGCTGGGTCTGGTTGCAGTTGCTTGAGGTGCCTGACCCTGATGTCGTCCCCCACTATGGAACTGGAGTGGTGCTGTTCGCTCTCTCGGCAGTGGTGGAACTTCTGGGAGAGCCCTTCTGGGTGTTGGCCCAAGCACATATGTTTGTTAAGCTCAAGGTCAGTGTGCCTTTTGCTGTGAATGGGAAATGCAAAGGATAACGGAGAGTGTGGTTTTTCTTTTTTCTTTTTATAAACATTTGTTTTATTTCATTTGAAATCAGAGTTACAGAGAGGCAGAGAGAGAGAGAATGTCATCTTCCATCTGCGGTTCACTCTCCAAATGGCCTCAATGGCCAGGGCTGGGCCAGTCCAAAGCCTGGAGCCGGGAGCTTCCTCTGGGTCCTCCATGTGGGTGTAGGGGCCCAACCATGTGGGTCATCTTTGGCTGCTCTCCATGTGCATTAGCAGGGAGCTGGATTGGAAGTGGAGCAGCTGGGACTCGAATTAATACCTATATGGAATGCCAGCGCTGCAGGTGGTGGCTTTATCTGCTATGCCACAGCACTGGCCCAGGAAAGTGTAGCTTTTAGAAAATGCTTTTATAGGAGAAAATTGATTTTTTCAGACTTGCATCTAAATAGGTGTTTGTTTATTTACTTGAAAAATTTTTTTTTTTTTTTTTTTTTTGACAGGCAGAGTGGACAGTGAGAGAGAGAGACAGAGAGAAAGGTCTTCCTTTTGCCGTTGGTTCACCCTCCAATGGCCACAGCGGCCAGCGCGCTGCGGCCGGCGCACCGCGCTGATCCGATGCCAATGGCAGGAGCCAGGAGCCAGGTGCTTTTCCTGGTCTCCCATGGGGTGCAGGGCCCAAGCACCTGGGCCATCCTCCACTGCACTCCCTGGCCACAGCAGAGAGCTGGCCTGGAAGAGGGGCAACCGGGACAGAATCCGGCGCCCCAACCGGGACTAGAACCCGGTGTGCCAGCGCCGCTAGGCGGAGGATTAGCCTGCTGAGCCGCGGCGCCGGCCTATTTACTTGAAATTTGTCAGATGGATCGAGCCAAAGTTTATCTGCTGTAATGAGGAACTTACGCATTCAGATCAGCATTTAGAACTGTAAAGGATTTTGGATTCTTCTAGTGATTTTACCTAGTTGTGTACTAGGTCAACTTTTTATGATTTAAAATAAATAATTGTACACAAAAGAATATTTATAACATGTCTAAACCTTAAGGAATAACATACTGAAGATGCATGAACCTGGCTGCTCGGACACATGCCCCGCTCCCACTGCCGGGAGAACCACGCCCCTGGATTTTGTCGCTCCTGTGTGTCTGCCTGGTGATGCTGTTTGTGACGTGCACCTTCTCCCTGAGTTTGCAGGTGATTGCTGAGAGCCTGTCTGTAGTCCTCAAGAGCGTGCTGACAGCTTGTCTTGTGCTGTGGTTGCCTCACTGGGGACTGCACATTTTCTCTTTGGCCCAGGTAGGAGTCATGGCTTGTACCTTTTTGTATAACCTTTGTTTCTCCATCTGGGTTTTCTTCTGATTCCTGCCACTGTGTGGTTTATGTTGGCTTTAGTCACACATGTGGGGAAGGCTGTCCTTGCCACTGTGTCACCTCTGGCTGCCCTGCTGTACACTGAGACCATTATTGTCCCCTGGACCTGCAGGGGCCGTATACTCAGCCTCACTGTCAAACGTCAGAAACCCTCTTGGACATTCTGAGGGCAGGTCCCTATCAAACCGGCCTTAGATTGTCTGACACTCTTATGGGAAGAAAAAAGCAGTAAGAGGAGAGGGGTGGGAATTAAATTACATTGTGTTATTTTCCTTGGATTTCAATTACTTGTTTGCAGAATAGGAGGAAACTCTGCCAAGTATGTATTAAATTTAGATTGAAATCTCACATAATTTGTAGGGTATGAATTGAATCACAGAATTTTCAGCATGTAGCAATTTTGGCTTCTTTTTTTTAAAGATTTATTTTATTTATTTGAAATACAGATTTACAGAGAGAGAGAGAAGGAGAGAGATATAGAGAGAGATCTTCCATCTGCTGATTCACTCTCCAAATGGCTGCAACAGCAAGGACTGGGCCAGGCTGAAGTCAGGAGTCAGGAGCTTTTCCCAGGTCTTCCACGTGGGTGCAGGAGCAGGATGTGGGCCACCTTCCACTACTTTCCCAGGCCATAACAGGGAGCTGGATTGGAAGTGGAGTAGCCCGGACTTGGACCCATGCCCATACAGGATACCAGCGTTGCAGGCAGCGGCTCAACCTGCTAAGCCACAATGCTGGCCCTCGCTTTATTTCTAACTCATCATTTTCTAGTTCCCATTCATGTTTCCAGTTCTAATAAAAATATAACTAGAGTACAAGTGCTATTTTAGAAAATGAAACTGAAGACTAGATAGTTCTCAGGACATCTGATAGTACAAAACAGTAGTCTTGTTTTTAATTGTTATTTATTTGTTTGAAAGAGAGAGAGACAGACGGATATCAATCGTCCATCCACTGGCTCATTCCTCAAATGTCCTCAACAAGTAAGGCCACGCAGACTGAAATCAAGAGCCCGGAACTCAATTCAGGTTTCCCATGTGGGTGGCAGGGATTCAAGTACTTGAGCTGTTCCCTGCTGCTTTCCAGGGTATGCATTGGCAGGAAGATAGAACTGGAAGCAGAGCTGGGACTTGAACTCAGGCATTTCTTTCTTTCTTTTTTTTTTTTTAATTTTTATTTGAAACTCAGAGTTACACGGAGAGAGGAGAGGCAGAGAGAGAGAGAGAAAGGTCTTCCATCCGATGGTTCACTCCCTAATTGGCCGTAGTGGTCGGAGCCGCGCTGATCTGAAGCCAGGAGCCAGGAGCACATGGATGCAGGGGCCCAAGGACTTGGGCCATCCTCAACTGCTTTCCTGTGCCATAGTAGAGAGCTGGAATGGAAGTGGAGCAGCCGGGACTCTAACCGGCACCCATATGGGATGCCGGTGCTTCAGGCCAGGGTGTTAAACCACTGCGCCACAGCGCCAGCCCCCTGAACTCAGACATTTCTTTCTTTTTTTTTTTTTTTTTTTTTTTTTTTTTAAGGCAGAGTGGACAGTGAGAGAGAGAGAGACAGAGAGAAAGGTCTTCCTTTGCCATTGGTTCACCCTCCAATGGCTGCCACAGCCAGCGCGCTGCTGCTGGCACACCGCACTGATCTGAAGCCAGGAGCCAGGTGCTTCTCCTGGTCTCCCATGCGGGTACAGGGCCCAAGGACTTGGGCCATCCTCCACTGCACTCCCTGGCCACAGCAGAGAGCTGGCCTGGAAGAAGGGCAACCGGGACAGAATCCAGTGCCCTGACCGGGACTAGAACCCGGTGTGCCAGTGCCACAGGCAGAGGATTAGCCTATTGAGCTGTGGCGCCGGCCCAGGCATTTCCAAATGGAATGATAGTGTGCCAAGTGGCATCTTAACCACTGTGCCAAATGGCTAACCCCAGCCTGTAATTTTTATTAATGTATAGGAAGATAAATTAAGATTTTTAGTAATGATTTATTTGGAATTCCTTCACATATCCCAGGCAAAAATTACAACTATTTTTGTGGAATACGGAAGAGCTAGATTTAAAGTTAATAAAACAGGATTGAGGATTTCCTCCTAAAAACAATTGGCAGAGTTGACCATTTTAGAGAAATTACTTTTTTTTTTTTTTGCTACATGTTAATGGATCTAGAACTATAGTTCTAATCAGTTTTTTTTTTTTTTTTTTTTTTTTTTTTTTGTAAAATTTATTTACTTGAAAACAGAGTTACTGGGAGATAGAGAGAAAAATAGAGAGACTGAGAAAGATCTTCCTTCTGCTGGTTCACTCCCCAATGGCCAGGGCTGGGCCAGGCTGAAGCCAGGAGTTTCTTCCAGATCTCCCACGTGGATGCAGGGGCCCAGGAACTTGAGCCATCTTCCGCTGCTTTTTCAGGTGCATTTTCAGGGAGCTGGATTGGAAGCAGAGCAGCTGGGACTCAAACGGGCACCCATTTGGAATACTGGCACTGCAGTGGCAGCTTAACCCCCTACTCCACAGTGCTGGCCCCCAGTCATTGTTTTTTGTTTTTGTTTTTTAGGATTTATTTATTTATTTGAAAGGGTTACACAGAAAGAAGAGAGGCAGAGAGAGAGAGAGAGAGAGAGAGAAAGGGCTTTCCATCTACTGGTTCACTCCCCAATTGGCCGCACTGGCTGGAGCTGTGCCCATCCAAAGCCAGGATCTTCTTCTGGGTCTCCCAGAAGTGGGTGCAGGAGCCCAAGGACTTGAGCCATCTTCTACTGCTTTCCCAGGGTATAGCAGAGAGCTGGATTGGAAGCAGAGCACTCAGGATTTGAACCAGCACCCATATGGGATGCTGGCACTGCAGGCAGCGGCTTTACCTGTTGTGTCACAGTGCCAGCCCCCCAGTCATTATTTTTGATACACTCTCCCCAGTAGGACAGGCAGGCCACAGGGATGTCCAGATGTTGGTTGGCTCTTCTTGGGAAAGGCCCTTGCATTATGAGTTCCTGACTGTCATAGCTTCCACCTGGTTTATATCATAGGTCATAGTACAGTGAAACCAGTCTGGGTTTACTTCCTTATCATAAGACTTCTGAGAGCTCTTTGGGAAGTTCTCTGTCAGTGTCTGGGTGAGAGGTCTAAGAGTCAGCAGCACCTTATCGAAGCGGGTGAGCTCCACCCAGGACACTGGAATTCCCGTTTGTCCGACTCACCTCCAGTTTCCCTCTTAAATTGGTCCCTTGTCCCATGTGTCAAATAAAAAGGCCACTCCAGAATATATGGAGAACCTTGCAACTAAACAGTAAAAAGACGAACTATCCAGTTAAAAAGTAGGCAGAAGTTTTGAACAGACATTTCTCTAAAGATAAACAAATTAATGGGCAGGTAACCCAACAGTCAACATCCTTAGTTACTAGAGAAATGCAAAATCAAAACCACGGTGAGGCTGGTGCTGTGGCTCACTAGGCTAATCCTCTGCCTGCAGCACTGGCACACCGGGTTCTAGTCCTGGTTGGGGCACTGGATTCTGTCCTGGTTGCCCCTCTTCCAGGCCAGCTCTCTGCTGTGGCCCGGGAGTGCAGTGGAGGATGGCCCAAGTCCTTGGGCCCTGCACCCGCATGGGAGACCAGGAGAAGCACCTGGCTCCTGGCTTCGGATTAGTGCGATGCGCCGGTTGTAGCGCGCCATTGAAGGTGCCATTGAAGGGTGAACCAACAGCAAAGGAAGACCTTTCTCTCTGTCTCTCTGTTTCTCACTGTCCAGTCTGCCTGTCAAAAACAAACAAACAAACAAACAAAAAACACGGTGAGATATCACTTCATACCATTTTATTAAAAGAAATTAGAAAATAGCAAGTGTTGGTGAGGACATGGAGAAATGAAAACCCTCCTACCTTGCTGGTGGGATTGTTAACAGTGTAGCTGCTGTGGAAAACATAGCTGTTCCTCAAAATGTGAAACACAGGAATGTCACAGGACCCAGCCATTCTGCTCCCAAGTATTTAGAGCACTGAAAACATGCTTACACAGAAACTTGTACACAAATATTTATAGCAACACTATTCACAATAGCCAACAGGTAGAAACAACCCAAATGTTCATGAACTGATGAATGAGTAAAATATGGTGGCTTCTTATAATGCCATATTATTCAGCCATAAAAGTTAAACACTAGTTCATACTACAAGGTAGGTGAACCAAGTGGAAGAAGTCAGACAAAAGGCCACAAGCGTAGGATTCCATCTACATGTCATGTAGAGAAGGAGAGCAGATGCGTGTTGGCCCGAGTGTGGGGGAGTGGGTAGTAACTCCTTAATGAGTGCAGTTTCCATGTGGGGGCAGGAAAATGTCCTGGAATTAGATAGCAGTGGTGGTTGCCTACCAGTGTGAATGTACTAAAAGCGACACTAACTGCACACTTTAAGACAGAACAGTGAACTTCGTCTATATGCTCTTTTCCCCTCTGTAAACGTTATGATGCCTTCACTCAGATGATCTGTGGGTTCATCATGCTTCCCCGGGGTGCTGGTTCGGCAGGAAGGCTGTTGGCATCAGGTGGTGTGGCTTGAAGCAGAGCTGCTCCTGTTTTTAGAGCTTCAGACATGAAAGAGGGTGGTTGGTGGCTGGCAGTGAGGGACAGGGGAGCCTCGGCCTGCTCACCTGAGGTTCACCTTGGTCCCTGCTGTGCGCCTTTCTGCAGGAGTGGCCTGCTTTGTGCCAGTATGGAAGTCCCAGTCCCTCCTGAGGGTGTGCTTTCCTCAGGAGGCAGGAGGGTGCAAGGGAGCTTAAAGAAAGGGGTTTTTGGAACACTCCTCCCAGCCTGCAAACAATGATCCTGGCTCTTCCTGGCCAGGAGCCATTCTTTTGTCACAGATGGGTGGATGCAGGGGTGGACCCTCTTATCGCCCCTTCATTTCCTCCCCCTTCCTGTAGTAGCCCTTGCCCTGCCCACACACTGGGTGGAATGGAGAGAGCCAGCAGCTCAATTCTGCTTTGTAATCAGAAAGCCACAGGTTTCCGGGGTTTATGGAAATTCCAGAGCCCTAGAAGGCGGCAAGTCCCTGGCTGTTAACACATCAGGACCCTGGACCTTCACAGGGTACAGGCAAGGGTGAGGTGGGAGGGACCTAGTCTTTTGGCCAAATATAAACCTTTTGAGAATGTACCTGACCTTGCTGTGCCTCTTGAGCTAGTGACCATCTATTATGGAAGTTGTGTTCTGCCTGCCCATGAGAACTTACGTCCTCCCAGGAAGGGAAGGGAAGGGAAGTGTTTGGAACACCTTGCCCGAAAACACTGGCTCTGAGTGAACCACACTATTTTCCAAAGAGTGAGGGGTTGGCCAACAGAAAGTATGGTTAATTATGACAGTTGCATTCCTGGATTGGCCTTTAAGGTCATATTTATAGGCATGTCTTAATTTTATGTGGATATATTCAAACAGCTTAATTTCAATGCATTGTTTTCTTTTCTCAGCTCTTCTACACTGCAGTTCTGGTGCTCTGCTATGTTGTTTATTTCACAAAGTTACTGCTTTCCCCAGGATCCACCAAGCCACAGATTCTTCCTGTCTCCAGAATAACGGATCTGTTGCCCAGCCTTACCAAAACTGGAGTAAGTGTTGCAATTTATGAGTGTTGCAATTTATCTCATTGGTTTAATCACAGATTCTGAGAGAAAGGAACTGGAACCAATAGGTTGTTAACAATTGCAAAGATGATTTTCTAGCTCTGTTTATTTGACTCATTGCTGTGCACTAGGCCAGAGTTGCTAAATCAGACTCAATGTTTTGGCCTTGGAAAATTGTTGCAAAGACTGTCCTGTGCATTGTGGAATGGTTAGCAGCATCCCTGATTTCCGCCTACCAAATGCCAGTGGCAGCTACTCCCCAGCAAACACCCAGAAGTGTCTCCAGACACTGCCAAGCAACTCCTGGAGGGTAATATTGGTTAACACTTGGGATGGCTTTTCTTGGATGGAGCTTCTGCCACCTACCCATGGCACCAGGCCTCATGCCCAGTGCTTTCCGTGCCTTCTTCAAGGCTTACAGCAACTCTGCAGAGGCTGACACTGTCACTGTTTCTATTGTAGGCCCCAGGAGCTGGGGCTTAGTGAATAAACACCTGCCCGCAGTGAGGGTTGGAGTGAGGATGGGCTCAACTGCCAGCAGAGCGCAGGCTCCAACCACCCTGCTCCTCTCTGTTCTGCTTTGTCTTTTTTTTTCCCAGATTGACCCCCAGCATAGACAGCTGAAAGTTCTATGAAAGCAAGGGTGACCCCTCTGTAGTTTCTTGATCTAGCTGTTGGCCCGTGTTCCAGATGAGGCAGGAGGGCTGTAGGTGCCGAGGGGTGGCAGTGGGGCAACTCTGTTTCTCCTTGGCTCTTTGTCTCCACATATTTGGCTCTCGTGGGGTCCTTGCTGTCATGCATGGTGCTGGGACTGCACACGTTGCCTCAGCTGAGGGCCTTTACCACCTGCTCTGTTCCAGGCTTCTCCATTCTCCCCCATCCTTCTTTGCAGGATGTGATGCGCTTAGTTGCGCTAAGGTGTGCACTGGGCTTCTCCTTATTTCTCTCTTGTGCCTACTTGAGAGAGTAGTAAAATATGTGAAACTTAAGTCCTGAGATTTACAGAATCCTGTTATCCAACTTTTCAAGGAAAACTAGTTAAGACATAGGCAAGCAGATGTGTTCTCACTGTCAGAATAGAGGTCTCCATTCTGATCGGCTTGATCTTGCCTGTGAACCTGATTCAGTACAACCACCGGGTGTACCACCGTCTACCTACATGCAGTGTAGCTGGCTAGGATTCAGGATTGCTTCTGCCATCTGCCCACAGAGCAGGTGTGGGGGTACAGAAAATTCTCTTCCTCGAGGTGCCCACTGAACCCAGCCTGGCCAGCCACTGTGCTCCAGGCATATTCTAGAAAAGAGCATTTAAACCCTTACTGTAAGCAGAGAGAGGGGATAATGAAGAGGCTGTAGAGTGATTGTTAAGGGTTTGGAACACAGAGCTTCTGTTTCTTTTTTTTTAAGATTTCTTTCTTTCTTTATTTTATTTATTTTATTTGACAGGTAGAGTTATAGACAGTGAGAGAGACAGAGAGAAAGGTCTTCCTTCCATTGGTTTACTCCCCAAATGGCCGCTACGGCTGGCGCTGTGCTGATCCGAAGCCAGGAGCCAGGTCTTTCTTCCTGGTTTCTCATGCAGATGCAGGGGCCCAAGCACTTGGGCCATCCTCCACTGCCTTCCCAGGCCACAGCAGAGAGCTGACCTGGAAGAGGAGCAGCTGGGACTAGACCTGGTGCCCATATGGGATGCCAGCACCACAGGCGGAGGATTAACCAAGTGAGCCATAGTACCAGCCAATTTATTTATTTATTTGTTTGAAAGAGTTACACAGAGTGAGAAGGAGAGGCAGAGAGAGAGAGAGAGAGAGAGAGAGGTCTTCCATCTGCTGGTTCCCTCCCCAATTGGCCACAACGGCTGGAGCTGTGTCAGTCAGCAGCCAGGAGCCAGGAGCTTCTTCCGGGTCTTCCACATGGGTGCAGGGGCCCAAGGACTTGGGCCATCTTCTACTACTTTCCCAGGCCACAGCTGAAAGCTGGATGGGAAGTGGACCAGCCAGGACTTGATCTGGGGCTCATATAGGATGCAGGCACTGCAGACTGCGGTTTTACCCGCTACGCCACAGTGCCAGCGCTGAGCTTCTGCTTCTTTTTCTGATAGATAGGGAGAATAATAGAACCTCCTGGCTAAGGCTATTTTGAGAACCCATGGATGGGGCATATAAGGTGCTTAACACTGTGGCCTGGCATGAGTGGGCATGCCTGAGTGGCAGCTGATGTTACCACCATGGCCCTGCTGCTCTGAGAGCAGAGGTGGCTCCTGGGACCTGCTTGAAAGGCAGATGCTGACGGCATTGGTGTGGGAACTCAGAGTTCCGTCTGGCAGCCTCCCCTGATGGTAGCCTTGTCCGTACTGCCTGGACAGAAGCCTGTTCCTGCCGCACACAGTGGCACTGTTGCTGCTGACAAGCTCGGTGCTCTTTGGAACACAGACGTAGGGAAAATGATTTGTCATTCTCCGGGAGGCATCAGGGATAGAGCGGCCTCAGGATCTTCCTCTTTCAAGCGAGGTTGTGGAGCTTGTGTGAGCTGTGAGGCTCCTCTGAAGACTACAGCAGTTCCATCTCTGGAGTTTGACAAAGAGCCATTTCCAGGAACTGCCACTGACAGCGCGCTCTGTGCCAGGCACTGCGCCATGCATTCTCTGTGGATTCGTGTGTTCAGTCCTCGTAGTGGCACTCAGAGGTAAATACTCTTTTCTCCATTTCACAGATGAGAACTTGGAGGTTCACAGGAGTTAAGTGGCTAAGCCAAACTCACACAGCTCATGGTGGACCCACTTCTCTCTACCTTCTGTGGACTAACCTTCGTCTCTGTCCTTAACCTCCATGCTCTCATCTTTCAGAAGAAATTGTCTCATTGCCCTTGGTAGTTATTGGTTTACTCAAAGATTGGGAAGTGCCATGTAGAACTGTTCATTGTTCATGTTGAGTATTTGAAGACAAGTAAAGAAGTGAGTCGAACCTGAATACCCAACTCGATGCCCCAAGGCAGCTGTCTGCCCTGGGGCTCCCTGGTTCAAAACTGGGTGAACGAGTACATTCAAAATGCGTTTGCCCAAAGTATGAGATTCCCCTTTGTATTATAGAATTTCATCTTCTTTAACGATATTTATTGAGTCTTATGATAAATTAATGGACCCTCAAAAAATGGCCACCTTTTGTGTTTTTTTTTTTTTTTTTTTTTTTGACATTTCTGAGTGATTTAAGAGATCTGGTAATATTTCAGTAACACTGAAATGGTCAGGTGTATTAAGCTTTATTAAGTGGTAAGCACTGTATCAGGTGCCCCAAGTGGAGTCCCTGGCCTCAGAATTTGCACTGTGGTGAGGACAGAGGGTGGGCACTCAGCTAGCTACCCTGCTGCACATTCTGGGGGAAGAACTGATGAACTGCATCTGGGAGCATCAGAAAGGCTTCATGGAGGAAGCTCCCTCTGAGCTGTCATGGACACACGGGTGGGCAGGGTAAAATGTGAATGGTGGACGTGCGCCTGGGTAGCTGCTGTGCCCAGGACCTATTGCACGCCTGTTGGGACTGGGAATGCAGGAGTGACTGGGGTGCTTCTGTTGGCTTCATAGCTGGGGAGGAGGAGCTGACAGAAGGTGAACAGAGGCTAAGAAGGGAGGTGAGCCTGGCAGGTGGTGGTGGCCTCAGTGCTGTGGATTTTGGTTTTAATTTTGGGGCAGTGGTTCCTCAGAAAAGGCTTTGAAGTGGTGCGGAATCTAAAGGGCTGAGCTGAGGAGCTTGGATTCCCAGTGCCTCACTGGCTCTCATTCATCCTCATACCAGCTCCATGAGGCAGGACTTCGCATCCCATTTTGCAGATGGGAAAACTAAGGTTTAGCAAAAGTTAAGCATGGTGAGTCAAGGAACTACAATTTGAATCTACAAGTCTCCAACGTTAACTACAGTCTCCAATGTTAACTCCGAAGCCCACCCTCACTGTGAGACGGTGGGCTCGAGGAGGAGTGGAAAGCAAAGCAGCTCAGTGGGCCGCGGAGGCACAGAGAGGATAGATGGGAGGTGTGGGGGGGGACACAGCTCGGGCGGGTCCAGATGGGTGGAGCAGGAAGCAGAGAGCAAGCGGTGTCCTGTGGGGTGGTGGAGGCTGTGGGGGGTGTGTGGACAGGGCTGTGTTCCCAGGCTCTTGTCGGTGTGGGAAGGTCCAGCAGACTGGGTTCCCTGTGTCAGAGTCTGAGAAGGGTTAAAGCACAGTGACTGCAGCCTTCCGTGGGGTCAACCAAGCTGCAGCCGCTCCATCCATACAGTGGGGCAGTGGGTGCCTTGTGGGTCAGGGGGTTGGGAGCAGTTCCCACGCAGACAGGCTGCAGCTGCTGTGGCTTCACGCTTCCCCCAGGAGTCTTGCTTAAAGAGCTCATTAGCTCCTCCCGCCCATTCACAGCCTGCTTGGGCTTCTCAAGAGCTGCTAGGCAAACTGCACTTTTCACTTCCTTTGAAAAGAGCTTGGGGGCTGGGGAGGGCGCCCTGTCAGACAGCAAGGGCTTTACCATCTTCCTGCAGCTGACAGTGCCCCCTAGTGGTGCTCTGGGGTGCTCTTTGTTCTGGGAAAAGGAGACCGCCAGGTTTTCCACATCCTTCTCACTGGGGAAGTCAGCCGGGACTGTAGCAGCCCTGGCATCTACTCTAGGGTCAGTCACAGCTTGAAGGCGTCCTTGGGGAGGACTGAGGTGCGTCCTCCCACTGCTGGAAGAACGTTTTGGAGCCCAAGGGGTGACGAGAATGGGAGCTAGAAATGATCCTTGCTGTCAGAGTTGCTGTGGACTTACCAGTGTAGCCACCAACCGCATTGCTGTCGAGCATTTTGGAATGTGGCCAGTCTGAGTTGAGATGATCTGTAAGTGCCAAATACTCACTGGACTTTTCAGAGCCTTAGTATGCAAAAAATACTGTGAAATGACTCTAATATTTTTTAAAATATTTATTTATTTGTTTGAAAGAGTTACACAGAGAGAAAAGGAAAGGCAGAGAGGGACAGAGGTCTTCCATCTGCTGGTTCACTCCCTAATTGGCCACAACAGCTGGAGCTGTGTCAATCTGAAGCCAGGAGCCAGGAGCTTCTTTCGGGTCTCCCATGCGGGTGCAGGGGCCCAAGGACTTGGGCCATCTTCCACTGCTTTCCTAGGCCATAGAAGAGAGCTGGATCGGAAGTGGAGCAGCTGGGACTTGAACCAGCACTCATATGGCATGCCAGCACTACAGGGGGTGGCTGTACCTGCTACATTGCAGCACTGGCCCCTCTAATATTTTTAACTTTGATTCATATTAAATTAAAATATTTGTAATAAATTGAAACTGATTTCACTTGCTTCTTTTTCCTGTTCCTTGTGACTACTAGAAAATTTAGTGTGTGTGTGGCCTAGAGCATAGGCTCCAGGCTTGCCCTTGGGCCCACTTTTGTGGCTGAGAGTGACCTTTTAGAGAAGTGGAGTGCACTTGACCTTGTGATTCACCCCTCCCCTCCCAAAGAGCCTTCCCAAATCCCAACACTCAAAAGTCATAACTTGGAATAATCAGTACTTTTCAAAACACAGAGGAAACTGGGAGGAGTACAAGGATAGGAGTCAGAGATGATAATAGCTAGCTCACTGGGCCACTGCTCCATTTTTTTTTTTTTTTTTTTTTTGACAGGCAGAGTGGACAGCGAGAGAGAGACAGAGAGAAAGGTCTTCCTTTGCCGTTGGTTCACCCTCCAATGGCCGCCGCGGCCGGCGCGCTGCGGCCGGCGCACTGCGCTGATCCGATGGCAGGAGCCAGGAGCCAGGAGCCAGGTGCTTTTCCTGGTCTCCCATGGGGTGCAGGGCCCAAGCACTTGGGCCATCCTCCACTGCACTCCCTGGCCACAGCAGAGAGCTGGCCTGGAAGAGGGGCAACCGGGACAGAATCCGGCACCCCGACCGGGACTAGAACCCGGTGTGCCGGCGCCTCAAGGCGGAGGATTAGCCTAGTGAGCCGCGGCGCCGGCCCCACTGCTCCATTTTGTGGTCAGTTTTGTGGCCTTAAGGCCATCTGCCTTATAAGTTGACCTCTGCCCTATTTAAGTATTTGCTTCTTTCTTGCCCTCTTTGTCCTTAGGAGATGGGTAGTTGGAGGCCTCTCGGAGTTTTGGAAGAGCCGTATCAGTTTTGTTTTTCCTTTTCTTTTTTCCTGAGTGGTACTGATTCTAAGTATTTTAACTGATTGGGGAAAACTGAATTTCTTGTTTTAGCATTTATTTGAAAAGCAGAGTGACAGAAAAGAGATCTTCCATCTGCTGATTTATTCCCCAAAGACCTTCTTCATCCACTGCCTCACAGGATGCATTAGTAGGGAGCTGGACTGGAAGCACAGAGTAACCAGAACATAGACCAGGCACTCAGATATGGGATGCAGTATCGTCAGTGATGGATTAACCCCGCTGTACCGCAGTGCCCGCCCTTGAATTTCTTTTGAATTATATAAGCACAGCTTATAAACTCTATGCAAAAGAGCCCTGCTTGATTGAATATGGTATTCATATATGGACCCTGTAGAGCAGAAATTGTTCTCTGGCTTGGCATGCTTCATTTTTTAAGTATTTTTTTTCTTTATTTGAAAGGCAAAGCAATAAAAGAGAGAAAGAGAGAGAGATTGCTAGAGAGAGTGCTTCCATCTGCTGATTCACTCCCAAATGCCTGCAACAGGCAGGGCTGGGTGTGGCCGAACAAGAGCCAGGAAGTCAATCCAGGTCTCACATGGGTAGCAGGGATCCAAGGACTTCAGCCATCACTGCTGCTTCCCTGTGTACATATTAGCTGGAAGCTGAGGCAGAGATTGAACTCAGGCATTCAGATGTGGGATGCTGGCGTCCCAAGAGGTGGCCTAACCCACTGTGCCACAATGCTCAGCCCACTTCAGATACTCTGTAAGGGAAGGCCCATGAGCTGGAGGTGTCAGCTCGATGTGGCCAGGGTACTGACTGGACCTCCATGGGGCAGTAGCAATTCTTGAGGAGTCTCCGCCTGTGGATCCTCCACTGCCTTCCCGGGCCACAGCAGAGGGCTGGCCTGGAAGAGGAGCAACCGGGACAGAATCCGGTGCCCCGACCGGGACTAGAACCTGGGGTGCTGGCGCCGCAGGCGGAGGATTAGCCTAGTGAGCCGCGGTGCCGGCCTAGATGTTTTTCTGTGCTTAGATTTAAATGGGGAATTGCAGGGGTCAGGGGATATTCAAATCAGGGTTTAGGGACTAGAGTGAGTTTGACTGTCATGTAGCACTGTGTTCTTAGACCTGACATGCCTGGGATTTTGTGTTTGTTTTGTTTTCTCTTCCAGGCTTTTGTAAATTGGAAAGAGGCTAAACTGACCTGGAGTTTTTTCAAGCAGTCCTTCTTGAAACAGATTTTGACTGAAGGTAAGGAAGACATGGCTCTGAGCAGTGAGGAGACCTCCGCAGAAGGACTGCTGTTACCTGGGTACCTGCCTGCAACCCCCTGAGCACAAAGACCTCAGAAATGGTGTTTTTGTTTTTGTTTTTGTTTTTGTTTTTTCAGATAAGGAGAGGAAAACCAACTTTCATTTAGTGTTATGTTTTACGTATTGAGGAAGCTGAGGGTCAGGAGATTTGTAGAGCTTCTTCAGGATTCTACAGTAAAGTAGAACAGCTTTTTTGGGATCCAAGTCTAACTCTATAACCCCATTCCATCATTTTAATAAATGTATTATACAAGTATTACTTTTATAAATAAATATTTAAATAAATAAACCCTTAAAAATATTACTTCTGTTATAGAAAAGAAACTGGCCATTATTACCACATCCTAATTTTTTATACATTTTCTACTTTTTTTCAACTTGTTTATGAACCAGGATTTTCATCATCATTTTACTTTCTTGAACAGCAAGATTGGCTTGTGTACTGGTTTGATCAGACTTGTTTGTTTGTTTTCTATAGATTTTTATTTTATTTATTTGAGAGGTAGAGTTATAGAGAGAGGGAGAGACAGAGAGAGAGGTCTTCTATCTACTGGTTCACTCCCCAAATGGCTGCAAGGGCTGGAGCCAGGCCGATCAGGAGCCAGGAGCTTCTTCCAGGTCTCCACACGGGTGCAGGAGCCCAAGTTCTTGGACCATCTTCTACTGCCTTCCCTGGCCATAGCAGAGAGGGGCAGCAGGGACTATGGGATGCCATCGCAGCAGGTGGAGGCTTAGCCCACTACACCACAATGCTGGCCCTCAGACTTTTTTTTTAGAAAAAGATTTATTTTGTATTTATTTGAAAGGCAGAGTTATGGTGGGGTGGGGTGCTATCTTCTATCCACTGGTTCACTCCCTAAATGGCTTCAACAGCTGGGGCTGTTGCAGGCCAATCCCAGGAGCCCAGAGCTTCCTCTAGGTCTCCCCACATGGGTAACAGGGTCATCCTTTACTGGGGCCATCCTACAGTATGCACATCAGCAGGGAACTGGGTGAGAAGTGGAGCAGCCAGGACTCAAACCAATGCCCATATGGATGCCCTCTTCGCAGGTGGCAGCTAAACCAATTATGCCATGACACTGGGCCTCTTGATCAGGCTTCCTTTTTTTTTTTTTTTAGATTTGTTTGTTTATTTGAAAGGCAGAGTTACAGAGAGGCAGAGGCAGAGAAAGACAGAGGGAGAGAGGTCATCCATCCACTGGTTTATCTGCAATGGCTGGAGCTGCGCTGATCCAAAGCAGGAGCCAAGAGCTTCTTCTGGGTCTCCCACACGGGTACAGGGTCCCAAAGACTTGGGCCATCTTCTGCTGCTTTCCCAGGCCATAGCAGAGAGCTGGATGGGAAGTGGAGCAGCTGGGACTTGAACCGGTACCCATATGGGATGCTGGCACTGCGGCAGTGGCTTTACCTAATACTACACCAAAGCGCCAGCCTGGACAGAGCTCTTGATGCAGAGAGCTGGCAGGGAGCTGAAGGCATGTTGTATACATGTGTGTATGCATGCATATGCATGTATGCTTATGTATGTGTTGGTTTATTTGTATTCACAATTAACAAAAAATGAGATTTGAGGCATCTGTAAAGTGTTGAAGGTAATAGTTCCTCTTTAAATACAAATTTCATATCTATACACCTATTGTATATTACTGGATGTATTTTTTAATCTTTTCAGAATTATAGATTAATCATAAAAATAATATAACCCCTTTATAAAAGTCACTGAAATATAAAAAAGTTCCCTATAATCCTAGAATTCATTTTTTTAATATTTAAAATTCTTACATAGGTTTTATTACCTTGTTTTTTGTTTTGTTTTGTTTTTTTTTTTTTTTTTGTTTTTTGTTTTTTGTTTTTTTTTTGACAGGCAGAGTGGACAGTGAGAGAGAGAGACAGAGAGAAAGGTCTTCCTTTACCGTTGGTTCACCCTCCAATGGCCGCTGCAGCCGGCGCGCTGTGGCTGGTGCACTGCGCCGATCCAAAGGCAGGCGCCAGGTGCTTCTCCTGGTCTCCCATGCAGGTGCAGGGCCCAAGGACTTGGGCCATCCTCCACTGCACCCCCGGGCCACAGCAGAGAGCTGGCCTTGAAGAGGGGCAACCGGGACAGAATCTGGTGCCCCAACCGGGACTAGAACCCGTTGTGCCGGTGCCACAGGCGGAGGATTAGCCCATTGAGCCACAGCGGCAGCCTTACCTTGTTATATTATCTCTTTTTTTAAAATAGTTATTTATTTATTTGAAAGAGTTACACAGAGAGAGGAGAGGCAGAGAAAGAGAGAGAGAGAGAGAGAGAGAGGTCTTCCATCTGATGGTTTACTCCCCAATTGGCATCATTGGCTGGAGCTGCACCAATCCGAAGCCAGGAGCCAGGAGCTTCCTCTAGGTCTCCCATGGGTCTAAGGACTTGGGCCATCTTCTACTGCTTTCCTAGGCTACCGCAGAGAGCTGGATTGGAAGTGGAGTAGCTGGGTTTTGAACTGGCACCCATATGGGATGCCGGCACTTCAGGCCAGGGCATTAACCCGCTGGGCCATAGCACCAGACCCGTATTATCTTTTTTTAAGGTGTGGCTCCAAGGGGAAGTAATTGTCTCTTTACCTGTTTCCCATCTGTGACCTCAGGCATAGGACCAGCGGTATCTAAGAGCTGTTGAGATGTGGAAAATGTGTGTTTCTGACCTGAGCTTGGAAGTTTGCCACTGCCAAAGTGAAACTGTCCCAAGGCCTCCTGGGGAAGCAAGGGTCAGCCAGCATTGCTCAGTGGAGGCACCTGAGCCCTAAGCTCCACGGGAACAGTGGGTGTGCCCTTGGTAATCGCTGTCTCCCTGCCAGGCCTGGCACAAGATAGATGCTCACTGATTCTTTGTTGATACAGTAGGAAAATCAGTAGCAGAAGGTAACTGCAGTAAATTGTGTATTGATTGTTCACATTGTTATTAGAGCAGGAGAATCAGTGGAGTAAGTTTCAGAAAGGACACTTGCTTATGTGCTATTTTTCCCCCTGAAGTTTTATTTTTCTAAATTTTTATGCTATATTTTATTTGAAGAGCAGAGAGAGAAAGAGAAAGAGAGACAAAGCCAGACAGGCAGAGAGAGATGCTATCTGCTGGCTCATTCCCTAAATGCCCGTAATAACCAGGGTTGAGCCAAACTGAGGCTAAGAGCCTAGAAACCAACCTTGAGTTTCTCACATTGTTAGCAGGTATCCAAGAACTTGAGCCATCACCTGCTATCTCCCAGGGTGCTTAACAGGAAGCTGGACTTGGAAGTGGAAGCAGGACTCAAACATAGGCACTCCAGTGTAGGATGTGGGTTGTTACATGGGGTGGCTTAATCATTGTGCTGAATGCCTGCCCCCTGCCCCTGCCCCTGCCCCTGCCCCCGCCCCTAAAAGTTTTAAGAACAGTTTTAATGAGTTTGAAGGAAGGAGTCCAGTCTAAGTGATGGCCCTAACTTGGTTGTTTGGATTGCCATCACCGGCATGTGTTTGCAGCAGCAGGTTTCAGCCACTATGCTAAGTCTCCCAAGCCTGGCCTGAATGTGGTGCTGCGTGCATGCTTGTTAGTTTGGCCCCTGGCATGGCTGCCTGACTGGGCCACCAGGAGCCCAAGAATTTCTCAAGGCCTCTTCCATTGCAGGAAAAAAAAGAAGTGGCTTAGTTAGGTCTCCCAGATTTTTTTTTTTTTTTTATCTTTAAAGCATACAGTTCTAGGAACATGCAAGTTGAGGGGGCTGGCATTGTGACATAACAGGTTAAGTTGCCGCATGCAATGCTGGCATCCCCTGTGGGTACCAGTTCAAGTTCTGAATGTTCCACTGCTGATCCAGCTTCCTGCTAATGCTCCTGAGAAAGCAGAAGATGGTCAAAGTGCTTGGGAGACCTGGAAGAAGTTCCTGGCTCCTGGCTTCAGCCTGGCCCAGCCTGGCTGTGGCAGCCTTCTGCGGGAGTGAACTAGCAGATAGAAGACCTCTTTCTCTCTCTGCCTTTCAAATATATATATATATACATATATATATATATATATATAGACTCTGGCGCATCTGACACGGAGCTGTGCAGTGCGGGAACCAGAGACAGAGAGAAAGGTCTTCCTTCCGTTGGATTACCCCCAAGATGACCACTATGGCTGGAGCTACGCCAATCCGAAGCCAGGAGCCATGTGCTTCCTCCTGGTCTCCCATGCGGGTGCAGGAGCCCAAACACTTGGGCCATCCTCCACTGCCTTCCCCGGGCCACAGCAGAGAGCTGGACTGGAAGAGGAGCAACCGGGACTAGAACCCAGTGCCCATATGGGATGCTGGCACTGCAGGTGGAGGATTAACCAAGTGAGCCATGGCTCTGGCCCTCAAATAAATAATTTTTAAAAAGTAAAAAAAAATTTTTTTTAAATGCCACTTGAGACATCCACATCAGAATGCCTTGTTCAAGTCCTGTTTCTGATCCCAATTCTAGCTTCCTGCTAATGCGTACCATAGGAGGCAGCAGAAGGTGGCCTAGGTACTTGGGCTCTTCCCATCCATGTGGGAGACCCTGGTAGAGTTCTGAGCTCCTGACTTTGGCCTGGCCCAGCCACTATTGCTACAGGCATTTGGAGAGTGAACCAGTGGATAGGAACTCTGTCTCTCAAATAAATAATTTTAAAACTACAACTCTAAAAAGGTTGAAGTCATTTTTTGTACTAGTAAAAATGTGTGTGCTGTTCCCTTCTGCCCTGACATTTCCTGCACACTGTGTGCCAGGTGAGGAGAATGCAAATGAGAGCAACAGTCCACAGCCCCAGGAGCTCATTCTCTCCCCAGAGATGCGGCCAGGTGGTTCACTGTTATGGGGGGCTGTACTCGAGGTACTAATTTGGCTCCCAGAAGTACCTGAGTATCCTCTGGCTTCCTGGAGTTCTGCTGGGAAACCAGGTACATGGTGGTGACAGATGGGGCTCCTACCCTCAGGGAGCTTCCAGAACGTGGGAAGGAGAGTCCTCTTGGGCCAGAAGACAGGGAAGGCCTTGCAGAAGAGCCATTCTTGGTGTTGAGAATGCAAAGAGCCAAGACCCAGAGCATGGCCATCCATGGGTGCAGCCTGACTCAGGGCAGTTAGGGGGTAAAGGCCTGGGGGCAAGGGTGGTGCAGAGGATGACAGGGTGAGGCGGGGTGAGCTGGTGAAAGGCAGCCTGACTGATAGTTTCAGATCCGTGTATGAAAGGCCTCAAGAGCGGGATTAAGGAGCCTGGACTTGTTGTAAACCCTGAAGAGCTATCTCAAAGTGTGGAGGTTGTACATGTAAGAGCTGTACATGTGTTTATAGAAGCTGGAGCTGTTAGTGGTGCATGTGGATCAGAGACGTAGGCCAGGGAGGAACCAAAGGACGTCCCTGCCACACAGACACAGGACTGGGGAGCTTGTAGGGAGTCGTGGTCGGGGGGAGTCTTGAGACCAGCGCTTCTCCTGACCTCTGGATGCTTTCCTTTCTGGACAATTGCTAGGAGGTAGAATTTGTCTTTCAGGGCTACGGGCACTGTTTTGAGCTCTGTCTCCTAATGGTCAATGCCTTTTGCTCCTGGATAAGAAAATTCATGAAAGCCAGGGGTGGGCCCGGGTTTGGTGTCTTCACCTTAGAGGCATTAATCTATCTTAGATTTGAGTCATGACCTTGGGCTTCAGAGCTTTGCCAGCCCTTGGGGAACTCTCTCCACCCCAAGAAGAGCTTTTTGATGAGCCTATACATACTACTGGGGACATTTCAATCACAGATGGTTTATATTCAGGTTATTTTGCCTTCCTTAAAACTTGGGGCATTTTCACCATTAACATTTTTGTAATCTCCCTATACTTTTTTTTTAAGATTTATTTATTTATTTGAAAGTAAGAGTTACACAGAGAGAGAAGGAGAGGCAGAGAGAGTGAGAGAGAGAGGTCTTCCATCCTCCAGTTCACTCCCCAACTGGCTGCAAGGGCCGGAGCTGTGCCAGTCCAAAACAGGGAGCCAGGAGCTTCTTCCAGGTCTCACACAGGGGTACAGGGGCCCAAGGACTTGGGCCATCTTCTACTGTATTCCAAAGATATAGCAGAGAGCTGGATCGGAAGTGGAGCAGCTGGGACTAGAACTAACACCCATATTGGCTGCCGGCACTGCAGGCAGCGGCTTTACCTGCTATGCCACAGCACTCGCCCCTCCCTATACTTTTATTTTAAAACTTCTTAGGTTGGTTTTATTGATTTTATTATTTTTAGAAGATTACTTATGTGAAAAGCAGAGCAATAACAAGTGAGGTGGGATGGGGGGAGGGATTTATCTTCTGGTTCACTCCCTAAATATCTACCGCAGCCTGGCTGGGCCAGGCCAGTAGCAAGGAACTCTCCAGGTCTCCCACATGGGCAGTGAGGCCCAGGTGCTTGAACCATCATCTGCACATTAGCAGAGAGCTGGGTCGGAAGCAAAGTAGCAAGGACTTGAACTGGCACTCAGATATGTGATGCCAGCTTCATAAACAGCGGCTTAAGCTGCTGGTGCTATAAGCCCAGCCCCCTTGCTTTTATCTTAATTGCCTTGGAGTTTCACTGTCAATAAAGCCCTTAGCATATGCATATTATTACTATGAGATTATTTGAAATCACCATTAGAACAGGGAACATGTCTTTAACTGATTATCTAATTTTTCTTCTTAAGAGTATTTGTCAGTAGGAAAATTTGATAAATGGAAAGATAAAAGGAACTGAGAAATTACTGTGCATTTGAAATGCCAACTATTTTGTTTTTCCATTTACAGGTGAGCGATATGTGATGACATTTTTGAACGTATTAAATTTTGGCGATCAGGGTAAGATGTTTTAATCAAAAGTTGATCTATGAATACATACTTCCTAATATTTCTTTCTGTAACTTGATAATATCTCATGAAAAAATGAACCTGGAGATGTTGGGAAATTAATACTATAAAGAAAGAATCCTGAGCCGGCGCTGTGGCTCAATAGGCTAATCCTCCACCTTGCGGCGCCGGCACACCGGGTTCTAGTCCCGGTTGGGGCGCCGGATTCTGTCCCGGTTGCCCCTCTTCCAGGCCAGCCCTCTGCTATGGCCAGGGAGTGCAGTGGAGGATGGCCCAGGTGCTTGGGCCCTGCACCCCATGGGAGACCAGGAAAAAGCACCTGGATCCTGGCTCCTGCCATCGGATCAGTGCGGTGCGCCGGCTGCAGCGGCGGCCATTGGAGGGTGAACCAACGGCAAAAGGAAGACCTTTCTCTCTCTGTCTCTCTCTCTGTCCACTCTGCCTATCAAAAATAAAAAAATAAAAAAAATAAAAAAAAAAAGAAAGAATCCTGATGCTTATAAACTGTAGGTCTTGGTAAATATATTATACAGTATACTGCCCAGGTCTTGTCCAGGCCCATGTGTCTTAATCTTTATTCCAGGTTCTTGCCCCCACAGAGATAAGAATTTAAAGCAGAGTTATAATACAGGGCACAAGTGAGGACAGGATTAATTGAAATGGAGAGTGAATGTGCATTGGTGTATGAGTGTGAACCTCCCCACACAAAGACAAACTAGTCATGAGGAGGTCAGAGAGCTGGATCCCCTGGAATGGTCAAGAGTGAAAGAAGGGCCCTTCCTGCATTATCAGTCTTTTTTTATTATTTTAAGATTTATTTTATTTGAAAGACAGTTACAGAGAAAGGTAGAGTTAGAGAGAGAGAGAGTGAGAAAGAGGTCTTCCATACGCTGGTTCACTCTCCAGATGCCTTCAGTCACCAGAGCTGTGCCAATCTAAAGCCAGGAGCCAGGAGCTTCTTCTGGGTCTCCCACATGGGTGCAGAGGCCCAAGGACTTTAGCCATCCTCTGCTGCTTTCCCAGGTGCATTAATAGGGAGCTGGATTGGAAATAGAGCAGCCGGAACTTGAACTTGCACCCACATGGGATGCTAGCACTGCAGACTGGAGCTTTAACTCACTGTGCCACAGTGCAAGGCTGCTATCAGTCTCTTTTATGGTATAGGGTGATAGGGTGTGCTCTAATTGAATATATAAACAGGTTGGAGTGTGGGTGGTGTCGCTCCCCCATTCGCGGAGGAACGACACAGGACCCTGCGCTGTTCTTTTGTCTGCTCGGCCCTTCCTGGGTTTGCTGCTGGTCCTTCCCGGGTTGGCTGCCGATCCCTCCCACCTCCGTGGAAGGGCGGCTCCCCCTGCCACTTTCCCCACTTCCGCGGGGGAGCGGCACACCGCCGGCCGGCTCTCTCGGGGGCTGCTCAGATATTATCCGGATGTTCCTGGTGCATGTTGTCTCTCTCCTCCTTTATAGTCCTCTTCCACCAATCCCAACTCTGCTACCCACACGCCGAGCACGCTGCTCTCCTCCAATCAGGAGCAGGATCAGCTCCTGCAGCTCATCAAATTGGCGAGAGGCAGCTGTGTAGAAGTTGTTTACTCCTCTCCCAGCGCCATATTGTGGGAGAGCAGATGCATAGAATAAGTCTTAATTCCAGTAACTTAGTCTAGTCCGAGTTGCTCCCCACAGGTGGAATTTAGTATGCCTAAGGGTTCCTGAGATTTTCAAGGTACCTCCAGATGGGGTTTAACTTCCATGTGGCCATGGATGAGACGTAGGTGCATCCTAGGGAGGTGAGCATTCTGCATTGACAGGTAAGGGCTAGAGCTACAATTCAGGGCTGGCAGAAATTCCAGCCCACCTATGCCTCTCTAATTCCCTGCCTGGTTCTCCCATATCACCTCTAATGTAACTTGGGTGACAGGTGTCGCTGAGACTCTCTGCCCTCCCCCCTGCTTCCTGCAGAGATCTGGTGCTGATTTTGGAGGGAGTCCCAGGAGAGGAGAAAAGGAAGCTAACCCTCACAGTCACAAAGATCAGCCCATATGTGTGGGGCTAGAAAGGTCTCTCAGTTATTTTTTCATATTTATTTTTACTGTAATCTCAAAGTAATAGAAATAAAAGTAGAAAAAAATAAACTTTGCACTAATGCTTCTTATTAAAAAAATGATGGTGATAGGAACATCTCATATCTTGACTGTGGTGGTATCAGTTATCTAGTAGTGATATTGTACTGTAGCTTTGCAAGATCTTACCATTCAGCAAAACTGGGTAAAGAGTGCTGGGATCTCTATTATATTCTCTTTTTCTTTTTTTAAGATAATTTTATTTGGGGCTGGTGCATGGTGTTGCAGGTAAAGCCGCTTGCCTGCAGTGCCGGTATCCAGCATGCTGCTCCACTTCAGATCCAGCTTCCTGCTAGTGCTCCTGGGAAAGCAATGGAAGATGGCCCAAATACTTGGGCCTCTGTACCTATGTGGGAGATCCGGAGGACGCTCCTGGCTTTTCTCTGACTTTCCTTCTTTGTAACTTTGCCTTTCAAATAAATCAATTTTAAAAAAGAAAAAAAATCTTTCTTTCTTTCTTTATTTATTTAAAGGCAGAGTTACAGAGAGAGAAGGAGAGACAGAGAGAGAGGTCTTCCATCTGCTGGTTCACTCCCCAAATGGCTGCAATGGCCTGAGCTAGGATGGTCCAAAGTCAGGAGCCAGGAGCTTCTTCTGAGTCTCCAACATGGGTGCGGGGCCCCAAGCACTTGTGCCATCCTCTGCTGCTCCCTGCACATTAGCAGGGAGCTAGATTGGAATAGAGCAGCTGGGAGGTGAACCAGTGCCCATCTGGGATGCTGGCACCACAGACGGAGGCTTTACCCACCATGCCATGGTACCAGCCCCTCCACTATTATTTATTAAAACTACATGTGAATCTACAGTTATCTCAAGATTGTAGGAAAGTTTAAAATATTAAATGAGGATAACAATTTGAATAGTGCTATTAAATTTAAATGACTGTTTTTCTCTTTTTGCTTTGCAGGTGTCTACGATATAGTGAATAATCTTGGGTCCCTTGTGGCCAGATTAATTTTCCAGCCAATAGAGGAGAGTTTTTATATATTTTTTGCTAAGGTGCTGGAGAGGGGAAAGGATGCCACACTTCAGAAGCAGGTAGCGTTAGTTGTTCCATCCTCCTTTTTTTGCTAAGGTGCTGGAGAGGGGAAAGGATGCCACACTTCAGAAGCAGGTAGCGTTAGTTGTTCCATCCTCCTTCCTCACCTGAATTCTCCCTCTAGTTGTAAGACAGAGAGCTGTGGAGCAGTCTGTTTCTCCTCTGTTGGTCTGACATTGTCTTGCAGATTTCTCTCTCTTTCTTTCTTTCTTTCTTTCTTTCTTCTTTCTTTCTTCTTCTTTCTTTCTTTCTTTCTTTCTTTCCTTCCTTCCTTCCTCCCTCCCTCCCTCCCTCCCTCCCTCCCTCCCTCCCTCCCTCCCTCCTTTCTTTCTTTCTTTCTTTCTTTCTTTCTTTCTTTCTTTCTTTCTTTCTTTCTTTCCTTCCTTCCTTCCTTCCTTCCTTCCTTCCTTCCTTCCTTCTTTCTTTCCTTCCTTCCTTCCTTCCTTCCTTCCTTCTTTCTTTCTTTCTTTCTTTCTTTCTTTCTTTCTTTCTTTCTTTCTTTTCTTTCCTTCTTTCTTTCCTTCTTTCCTTCCTTCTTTCCTTTCTTCCTTCCTTCCTTCCTTCCTTCATTCCTTCCTTTGATCTACTTATTTATTTGAAGGGGTTACAGAGGGAGAGAGAGATCTTTCATCCACTGGTTTACTCCCCAAATGGCTGAAATGACCAGGGCTGAACTAAGCAGAAACCAGGAGCTAAGAGCTTCTTCCAGGTCTCCCATGTGGATGGCAGGGGCTCAGACACTTGGGCCATCTTTTGCTGCTTTTCCCAGGTTATTAGCAGGGCACTGAATTGAAAGTGGAGCAGCCGGGGCACCAACCAGTGCCCTTACGGGATGCAGTGCCACAGGCAGAGGCTTTGTCTGCCGTGCCTCAGTGCTGGCCTCTGCCTTGTCGATTTCATCCTTCTGTCGTCTTCGCAGTGATGGCAGTAGCCGTAGCTTGTTTCTCTCACGGCCTTCCCCTTGTCCCCTGGTTGCCCCTTCTGTCTCATCCCGTTGTGCTTTTTGACCTTACTCTTGACTCAGCCCTCTCAGAATTCTCTATCGCTGTCCCCAGGACAGTGCAATTGCCCTCTCATGGTTTATTCTTTTTTTTTTTTTTTTTGTATTCCTTTAACTTTAAAAAAAATCTTTATAATAAACTAAGATACATCGATTTTTTTTTAATTTTTTTTTTTATAGAGTTAGAGAGAGAGAGAGAGACAGACAGAAAGGTCTTCCTTCTGGTGGTTCACCCCCCAAAATGGCCATCACGGCTGGAGCTATGCTGATCTGAAGCCAGGAGCCAGGTGTTTCTTGGTCTCCCGTGTGGGTGCAGGGCCCAAGGACTTGGGCCATCCTCCACTGCCCTCCCGGACCACAGCAGAGAGCTGGACTGGAAGAGGAGCAACCAGGACTAGAACCTAGCACCCATATGGGATGCCGGCACCACAGGCAGAGGATTAACCAACTGAGCCATGGAGCCAGGCCCACGTCAATTTTTCTTTAACAATTTTTTTAAGATTTATTATTTCTTTTGAAAGAGAGGGAGAGAGAAAGAGAGAGGCTGCAATGGCCAGGCTGGGCCCAACTGAAGCCAGGAGCTTCATCTGGGTCTCCCATGTGGGTGACGGGCCCAAGTACTTGAGCCATCTTCCATTGCTTTCCCAGGCACACTAGGAGGAGTTAGATCGGAAGTAGGGCAGCCAGGACTTAAACTAGTGCTCATATGGGACTGCTGCATTGCAGGTGGTACCTTATCCACTACGCCACAACACCAGCACCTTTTTCCTTTAACTTTTTGAAGTTTAGTTTGGGAGGCAGAAAGGAAAACAGAGAGTAAGATACCTTTTGCTGATTCACACCCCAAATGACTGGCCCAAGCTGAAATCACATTCATAGGTCTCCCACATGAGTTGCAGGGATCCAAGTTCTTGAGCCATCATTGCTGCCTCCCAGGGTACGCATTAGCAGAAGGCAGGACTCAACGAGTGAGAATTGAGAGTTGAGCTCAGATACTGTAATATGGGATGCAGGTATTCTGACCAGCATCTTTCCTGCTAGGCCAAACACCTCCTCATTTGGTATAAGAATGAGGTTGCTCTTTCCGTCTTCAGATGCTTGAGACCCCAAAGATACCAGGCTTGGAGCAAGGCTAGCCTAGGGCATGCCAAAGAAAGGATGTGATCCTAGGGTTCCACTCACCACACCAATTGTTTAAGCTTGTAACAGACTTGTGCCCTGAGCTACATCCTGACTCTCTGAATCTGTGTTCTCTAGTTGGCAAATACAAAAGAAATTTTAATCTAGGAGTATTTTTTTATTTATTTATATGAGAGGTAGAGCTACAGACAGAGAAAGGGAGAGACAGAAAGAGAGGTCTTCCATATGCTGGTTTACTCCCCAAACAACCTCAGTGGCTAGAGCTGAGCTCATTCAAAGCCTGGAACCAGGAGCTTCTTCTGGGTCTCCTACACGGGTTCAGGGGCCCAAGAATGTGGACCATCTTCCACTGCTTTCCCAGGCCATAAGCAGAGAGCTGGATGGGAAGAGAAGCAGCCGGGACATGAACTGGTGTCCCTATGGGATGCCAGTGCCTCAGGCAGAGGCCTAGTCCACTATGCCACAGCGCTGGCCCCAATCCAGGAGTATTTCAGTGTAGAAGCTTCACTTTTTCTGAAACCACTGAAAATGTCTGACTTATCTTAGAATTAAAAGAAAGCTGGCGCTGTGGCGTAGCAGGCAAAGCCACCACCTGCAGTGCCGGCATCCCATATGGGCGCTAGTTCAAGTCCCACTTTCGATCCAACTCTCTGCTATGGCCTGGGAAAACAGTAGAAGATGGCACAAGTCCTTCAGCCTCTGCACCTGCGTGAGAGACCTGGAGGAAACTTCTGGCTCCTGGTTTCGGATCAGTTCTGGCTGTTGTGGCCATTTGGGGAGTAGTGAATCAGCGGTTGGAAGGTCTCTCTCTCTCTCTGTCTCTCTGTCTCTCTGTCTCTCTCTAACTCTGACTTTCAAGTAAATTTTTAAAAAAACAAGCAAGCTATGTTGGCCTCTTAACTTGTCTTAGGATATATTTTGCAAAATATAGTTTAGTGGCCGGCGCCGCAGCTCACTAGGTTAATCCTCCGCCTTGCAGTGCCGGCACACCGGGTTCTAGTCCCGGTCGGGGAGCCGGATTCTGTCCCGGTTGCCCCTCTTCCAGGCCAGCTCTCTGCTGTGGCCAGGGAGTGCAGTGGAGGATGGCCCAAGTACTTGGGCCCTGCACCCCATGGGAGACCAGTACCTGGCTCCTGCCATCGGATCAGCATGGTGCACCGGCCACAGCGCGCTGGCTGCGGCAGCCATTGGAGGGTGAACCAACGGCAAAGGAAGACCTTTCTCTCTGTCTCTCTCTCTCACTGTCCACTCTGCCTGTCAAAAAAAAAAAAAAAAAAAAAAAAAAAAATATATATATATATATAGTTTAGTACAATGCCTCCAGGCAACTAATTTAGTCTTGATCTGATTTAGGAGTATTTCCTAAGCGTACATTGACAGTAACATCAGAATGCTGAGTTATTTTTCAGGAGAAACAGTTTCCCACCAGGGACAAGTATCAGGGGCCAGGTGATTGACCTAGTGGTTAGGACTCCTACTGAGATACCCACTTCCCACAATGGGGTGCCAGGCTCCTGACTCCAGCTTCCTGCTGGTGCAGCTTCTGGGAGGTGGTGGTGATAGCCCAGGTGTTTGGGTCTCTGCTGCCTGTGTGGGAGACCTGGATTGAGTTCCTGGCTCCTGACTTTGCTCTGGTGCACTCCCTCTCCCTTCCTCCCCACTCCTTATCTCTTTCCTCCTACCTTTCAAATTTAAAAAAAAATTTATATTTTTGCAAGAATAAATATCAGAAGGCAAAATGAGAATTTCCTAAGCAATATTTGAAAAAACTATATCCAGAATAAATTGAAAGCTAAACCTCTCGCATACCACCTGAGGAGCTGTGTTAGCGTTTTTCCTTCATTTATTAGTGGCCATTAAAGCAAGCACAGGGCCCAGAAGAGCAGTGAGGCCCCTGCCCCCGTTGGAGGAGCACTCTGTGAAGCAGTAGAGGGAGAAGTCCACATGTGGAAGTTTTCCCGGCTTGTGATTCACCCCGCTTCCTTCCTTCCCCAACCCCAGGAGGACATTGCCGTGGCCGCCGTGGTTTTAGAGTCCCTGCTCAAGCTGGCCCTGCTGACCGGCCTGACCATCACTGTTTTTGGCTTTGCATATTCTCAGCTGGCTCTGGATATCTACGGAGGGGCCATGCTTAGCTCAGGATCAGGTATGTGTGAGGTTTTTCCTGGATTTGGATTTGTTTGAATTTCAAAACAGAAATAGAAGAGTTTTATGAACTTCTAGGACTTGGGCACACAGGATTGGTATCTATCAGTGTTGGGAAAATCGATGGCTGAGGCTGTGGGACTACTCCCATCCCTTGAGCTCAGATGGTTGCTCAGGGTGTGGTTAGGGACTTTGGCACTTGGCATTCAGTTCCCCAACCTCACTGTGAGTCCTCCCTGCCCTGGACTTTCCTTTCAGGCCTAATGTGTGAGGGAGGATGGCAGAGAGCAGGCTCTAAGGAGTCCCCACTTGGTACTAAACACATCAGTAAAGGCCCCTAAATCTCATGGCTGGACACTTAAATGCCCCAGAGATCAACCCAGGGCCATTGCTGAGAATGAAACTGATCCCAGCAAAATAAAAGGTTTATTTAATCTAGTGGCTCTTGGTTATTGGAGGAGAAAAGTGACTAACTTTGCCATACCAGGTACCCAGGCCACTGAGGCTGTCACAGCACTTGCTAGGCCTTAGGGGCTTTACCAGTTTCAAAATGTGACAGGCTAGAGCCTCGCAGTTCATTTGCAGTGCTTTATGATGATTTTTAAAAAATATTTATTTATTTATATATGTATTTGAAAGGCAGCATGACAGAGCTAGATCTTCCATCTGCTTGTTCACGCTGCAAATGACTGCAACAGCCAAGTCTGGACCAGGCTGAAGTCAGGAGTCAAGAACTCCATCCTGGTCTCCCTTGTGGGTGACAGGGGCCCAAGCACTTTAGGCATCATCTGTTGCCTCTCAGACACATTAGCAGGAACCTGGAGCGGAAGTGGAACAGTCAGGACTTGAACTGGCACTCCAGGATGGGATGCTGGCATCACATGAGGTAGCTTAATGCACTGCGCCACATCACCAAGCCCGACAAAGAGGATTTTAATTCCTCATGTCACGAGGCAGGAACTCCAAAGACATTTTTCTGCTGTCCTATCTCGCTGTAAAGGCCTTTGTCAAACACCATTTCACAGGATCGCTAGGACGTTTTAGCCTCCACTGTAATGGGGTCCAAACTTCAGGAACTAGGGGAAGAAGTTCCTACTCCAGAGCAAAGGTCCTTAACCTTGCGGCTCCCTGTGGCTTGTTCTGCGAGAAGTGCATTTTCATCTAGCAGCTGCAGGGAGCCTCATTAGGAAGCCATTAGTGAGTTATGTGCAGAGATTGGGGCGGCAACTCTGTCCTTTAGGAGACAGTCGCCAAGAAACAGCCTTCTTGTGGCATAGTCACCTGTCATTGCCATGAGGAGGGGGCTGTCCACCAGGTGGGGAGGTTAATCACAGGAGATAAAAACCAATTATGGTTATTGTGAGGGACCAGCCTTGTGGTGTAGCCGATAAAGCTGCCACCTGTGGTATGGCATCCCATATGATAACCACTTCGTGCCCCACTGCTCCACTTCCTATCCTGCTCCATGCTAATGTGCGTGGGAAAAGCAACGGAAGGTGGCCCAAGTGTTTGGGCCCCTACTTCCACATGAGAGACCCAGAAGAAGCTCCTGGTCCCTGGCTTTTGCCTGGCCCAGCCCTAGTCATTGTAGGCATCTGGGGAGTAAACTAGCAGGTGGAAAACCTCTCTATCTCTCCCTATTACTCTGTAACTCTGCCTTTCAAATAAATAAATAAATCTTAAAAAAAATTATTATGTAGTCCTTTTACTCAGGTGAGGTGCAGTTTTGAACATTGAGAACAGATCTGTCAGTTAAAAAGTTCCAGGTTTAGTTGGGTGCTAAAGTAATTTGAATTTGTTCCTGCTCTCCGCTGCAGAGAGCAGTCTTGAGAATGGTTTCAGCCTCTCAATGTCTGAAAAGTTTGTGTGCTTTGGTCTGTCACTGTCACATGTTCAGGACCCTTGTCATATCCTGCCCAGCCCAGGGCCCCAGAGGGTCTTCCAGCATTTGTCTCAGTTGTAGCTGATGTTCACGTTCACCAAACTTTCACTCTCTGTAAAGCCCACGTGGCTTCTTGACAGGGTCATTGCCCAGCCCTGGGGAGCCTGTTCCCTGCTCTTCATGACACCTCCTCTCCTGGCCCTACTCTTGACTTGTTGGACTGGCGCTACAGATCTGAATTCCTTTCCTGTGCCAGAAAATATGAACACAGCTGCTCTCCCCACAGTCAGGTTATTTTTTAAGATTTTTTTTTTTCTAAAATCGAAAGGCAGAGAGACAAATTGATCCCATTCGCTGGTTCAATCCTCAAGTCCCTACAATGGCTAGGGCTGGGCTTGTCCTAAGCCAGGAACACAATCCAGGTCTCCCATATGGGTGGCAGGGCCCCACACTGCTTGAGCCATCACCTGCCTTGCAGTGTGTGCATCAGCAGAAAGCTGGAGTCAAGAGCAGAAGCAGAACCCCAGTGCAGACAGTCCAGCGTGGGATGCAGGCATCTTAGCTGGCTTCTTAGCCCCTGAGCCAAGCACCACTCCCCAACAGTCTGTTTTGGTGCTGAAATGCTTCGTTGGGCCAGCGCTGTGGCTCACTTGGTTAATCCTCTGCCTGCAGCACTGGCATCCCATATGGGTGCCGGTTCTAGTCCCCGCTGCTCCTCTTCCAGTCCGGCTCTCTACTGTGGCCCGGGAGGGCAGTGGAGGATGGCCCAGATGCTTGGACCCCTGCACCTACCTGGGAGACCAGGAGGAAGCCCCTGTCTCTTGGCTTTGGATTGGTGCAGATCTAGCCATTGCGGCCATTTTGTGGGTTAACCAACAGAAGGAAGACCTTTCTCTCTGTCTCTCTCTTTCTCTCACTGTCTAACTCTATCTGTCAAAAAACAACAACAACAACAAAAAAAGACTTGGCTTTGTCCAGACAATCTTCCTGGATTAATCAGAAAAGAAGAGCAACTCTGTGTGGCTCAGCCCTCTCACCTTAATCGTGAAGGTGGAACCGCTGTCCCCAGTGACCCCCAGTTGTATGGTTCTCTGGGACCCTATCCTGGCCACCTCCAGATGGGGCGTTTGGTGCAGACAGGATTCTGGGGGAAGGGTGTTGTCTGAGTTCAGCACTGTGTATAATCAGGGGCTTGGTGAGTGCCCTGGAGGCTTTTCTCAGAAACCCCACCCTGAGCTCTTCCATCCCTAAGAGAAACATAATTGTTGAACGTCCCTGTGGTTTCTCCCATTTATCTCTTAAGTGCTTCCTGCCTGTGCCTTTCCTTTTCTTTTAAAAATCTCTTTTTCTTCTCTGTCTCTACATGTCACTTTCCTAGGACTGCCTCGACCCAGTGCCCCTACTGGGTGGCTTCCAAGTTAAGTATGTTGTGTTTACGTTCCAAGTCAGGGTGTCAGCAGGGCTGTGATCTCTCTGGTGGCTGGGGCAGGGTTGGGGGAAGGGGTCCTTTTTGCCTCTGCAGCTTTTGCTATGGCTGGCAGTCCCTGCATCACTCAGCCACGTGGCCATCTTCTCCCCATGTCTTCACTCTGTCTTCCCTCCATGTGTGTGTCTGTCTCCCAATTCCCCTTTTATTAGGATGCCAATACCCCCCAGTGACTTAATGGGAATTTGGTTATTTCCAGAAAGACTCCGTTTCCAAATAAAATCACATTCTGAGTTTCTGGGAGTTATAGATTTCAACATATCTTTTTTTTTTTTTTTTATGGGGTGGGGTGAATGTAATTCAACCCATCACACCCCTGCATTCAGTTTAAGGCTCCATCCTGATTTCTCCAGCTTGACCCAAAACCCTTTTCCTAGAGTGTGTGCTTCATGCAGTCAGTATTCTCTGCTCTGCAGGCCTCAGAGTGGCTCCCTGTCCACCTCCAAGGGGTCCTTCTGTGCTGTTGGGCTTCAGATAGCAGGTCAGGGGCCCCTGGCCTGCTGCTTCTTCCAGAAGAAGGAGGACAGGAGAAACAGGAGCTGTATCAAACACTGCCTGAACTGCCTTCAGACAGAGCTGGCTCCTCCCCTGGGGTTGCCTCTCTGCTTGGGCAGGAGCCGGGCTACTTTGCACAGCGGCATGAGGGGTGAGGTGCATGTGATGTGGTCAGATACAGAATCCTAAAAAGTTTCATGGAGACCCAGGCTGTCCTGTTAGAATTCCTTTTTTAATTAATTTTGTGATCACCGTGAAACTGTTCAGGGTCCCATCAGCACAGGGATCTTTCCTGTCAAATGGTTTACATGAGCCCAGAGTGAGTTCAAGATTCAGTTCTCTTTCTTCTCTGTTGGTGGTTCTATGATTGAGGTCTAATTTGCATAAAGTAAAATGCTATTCTCTGAAGAGTACAGTTTGATGATTTTTTTAAAGATTTATTTATTTGAAAGCTTTGAGTTTCAAAAAGAGAGGAAGAGGTTGGGCGAGAGATCTTCCATCTACTGGTTCACTTCCGCAAATGGCTGCAACAGCTACCTCTTTTCTGATTTGTATCGCTATAGATTAACATTGTTTTTTTTTTTAAAGACTTTATTTATTTATTTGAAAGGCAGAGTATCAGAGAGGGGAGAGAGAGTGAGAAAGAGAGATCTTCTACCTGCTGGTTTATTCCTGGAATGGTTGAAACAGCGAGGAACTCCTCCAGGTTGCCAATGGAAGTGGGAGGGACCCAAGTCCTTAGGCCATTGTCTGCTGCCTTCTGAGGTGCATTAGCAGTGAGCTGGACTGGAAACAGAGCACGTGGGACTGGAGCCGGCATCACGAGCCATGACTTGATCCACTGAGCTGCAGCTCCTGCCCCGGCATTGCTTTTCAGAAGGATTTCCTATCAGTGAAACATGTTGGGCTCCTCGCCTTCACTATAGCATCTCTGAGAGCCACCTGTGGTTTTGCATGCTTACCATACTAAGAAGCAGTCCCTGCACCCTCAGTGGGCTTCTCCTTTTTTGCTGGTCAGTCTTGGCTGTTCTGAGTAAAACGGTGACGAAGTCGTTATGGTTTCTGTGAATATGGCTCGCTTCTGTTGGATGTGTATGTAGGAGTAGAATTGCTGGATTATAGATTGGTTGTATGTTTACTTTGCTAGAAATTGCTTGGCTACCTCTTTTTTATAAGATTTTTTTAATTTTTTATTTGAGAAGTAGAGTTACAGACTGAGAAAAGGGAGAGACAGGAAGATTTCTCATCTGCTGGTTCACACGCCAGATGACTGCAATGGCTGGAGCTGGGCTGATCTGAAGCTGGGAACCAGAAGCTTCTTCTAGGTCTCCCACATGGATGCAGGGGCCCAAGCACTTAGGCCATTTTGCACTGCTTTCCTAGGCCATCAGCAGGGAGCTGGATCAGAAGGGGAGCAGGCCATATGCAAACAAGCCCCCATGTTGGTATGCCAGTGCCTCAGGCGGAGTCTTAGCCAACTACGCCACAGCGCTGGTTTCTTGGCTATCTCTTAATCACAGCCCTCTTCAAAGAGGGGGATAGTATTATTTGTCAGGCTCCTGTCCTCTGGCTAGCAGATTTTTCCAAAAATCTTACTTGTTAGCTCTAGAAAGGCAACCCTTTGTTTTAGAAAGAAATACCATGTAGGCTTTGATTCTTGCTGCAGGTATGTGGCTGTTCAGTTTCTATTGTTTCCTGCTGGTCCTGGGCAGTGGGCTTTTCCTGAAGATCTGTTTTTTTCCCCTCAGGACCTGCTTAACTGAAATTCCCTTGACATGCTGGGCCAACAGCATCTCTGAGTGCTCAAGCTAGCAGCCTCTTCCTACTGATTAAAAAGCCAGCAAATTTGCCTGCAGGCTAGATAAGCCTTCAGTTGTTCAGTAAGAGCTGTACATTCATTCATAATCGTCTTCTTGTTTGTGGCTGATTATTTTAGCCAACGCCGTGGGATACTGGGAGTCCTTCCAGACAGTTTGAAACATGGACTTGAGCCTGCAGGCTGCCCACTGATGATACAGGCAGGTCTCATGCCCTGGTCCTGGCGTTCTCTGAGCACCTAGCCCAGCCGAGGGTGCATGTGGGCCTCCTTCTTAGGCACCAGAGTTTCCATGAGTTGTTTTCTTGCAGGTCCTGTTTTGCTGCGCTCCTATTGTCTCTATGTCCTCCTGCTCGCCATCAATGGAGTGACTGAGTGCTTCACGTTTGCAGCCATGAGCAAAGAGGAGGTGGACAGGTGGGTACCCTAGAAGGTGTGTGGCCTTCAGCCGAGATGCAGAGACTTGCTGTTGCTTCTGGTTCTAAACGTGCACTTGCAGATGGCTCTTACAGTGGCTGCACTGACACCACTGGCATGGTGCATCCCCGAATCTCTGTTGCAGCAACACAAGTCAGTGAGTGCCCCTGGGAGGTCTGGGAGGCAGCAGCTGCTCTTTACCTTCCTTGGTAGAGGGGGAGAGAGCATCCTGCAAGGTTTGTCTCACCTAGCTTTGCAGGGCCAGGCACAGGACAGACTAAATTCTGTTCCTCCACCTCCTCATGTTCCCCATGGAGCTTGTTAGAAATGCAGAGTCTTTTTTTTTTTTTTTAAGATTTGTTTATTTAGTTGAAAGGCAATTAAGAGAGGGAGAGATAGAGATCTTCCGTCTTCTGGTCCATTCCGCAATAGCTGTAACAGGGAGTGCTAGACCAAGCCAAAGCCAGGAGACTGGAACTCCATCTGGGTCTTCTAATGGCTGGCAGGGGCCCAAAGACTTGGGCCATCATCTTCTGTGTTCCCAAGCATATTGACAAGGAGCTGGATTAGAAGTGGAACAGCCAGGACTCAAACTAGTGCTGATATGGGATGCTGGCATTGTAGTAGTGGCTTAACTCTGCACCACAGCACCAGCCCCACTACACACTTTGATACAGTATATCTCCAGAGGACCTTGGGGTATATGTGGGGCATTTGGAGGGAACAGCGGCTTTCTTACACCTCTCATGTGTAGAACCTGGGTGGTGCCTTGGAGAGCATCTACCCTGGCAGACACAACTTGGGGTCCTAAAGGAATTGGGTCCCCCCACAACTATGTACTGAGCTAAGCAGAAACCAGATGCAGGGCATTTTGTTCGAGGCTGTACTGCAAGCCTTTTGGAGGCCAAGGTGTTGGGACTGTGTGTGCTGAGATTCAGTTGCTCTGCTGACTGTTGAAGGTTATATGTGATATGCTGCTCTGAATTAAGAGGAGGGAAGGAGTAGTATAGCCCATTTGTCCCCAGAACCCCTGAACCCCAGAGCTCCAGAGAGAGAGGAGGAGGATGTGTAAGGTTCTAGAAAATACCAAGGTAGCCCAAGCTTTGCTTACTGTTCACATCTCATTTTGGAGATAGGTCACTTGGCGTCCACTGCCCCAGGCTGTGAATGGCTACACTCGTTGAGGGCAGTGCTGTGAGGCGCTGCAGCATAGGGGCCAGGCTGGGCTAGAGTGTTGGTTCACAGTATAGGTGAGTTCCTCAGGCCCTTTGTGCTGGTCCCCTTGCCTGTGAAACAGCCAGGTTCTCCCGGGCATGGGCCATTCACTGGTGTGTCCCCAGCACTCTGTATAGGGCCAGTTACAGAGGTAGGGTCCAGCATGTAATTATTACCCAGGTCATATTCTTGTATCTTCATTGGGGACTTAGGCTGAATCACAAAGTATCACTTAACTAACCAGTTACAGTCACATTTTACTTAATGATGGAGACAAGCTGGTAAGTGTGTCATTAGGTGATTCCATTGTACAAACACCACAGCATGTCTTGCACAAACCTTGATAAGACAGCCTACTACGCACCTAGATGGGGCAGCCCGCTGCTCTGGGGCCATGATGACCAAAACAACTAGAGACTTAAAGCATAAGAAAAATTGATGCCATTGAGATCCCATGAAGCCAAGCTCTGTGAGGGCACTGCCAGCCCACCACGGCGTCTTGCTCCAGTGTGCTTTTCTCTTGGAGGTAGGGGTACGCACCTAAGATAACAATAGAAAGTACAGAGTAGTGCATAATGAACCAGTAGCATCGTTGCTTAGTATCACTTGCAGGTTCCCTGTGCTGGCCATAAGTGTGTATGCCCCGCCTTCATACCACTGGCAGGTGTATAAAACAGCATCACACACATGTGCGAGCAGTGCCTTGCACCGCAGCATCAGGAGGGTAAGGCAGCATTGTGGTGCCAGAGGAGTTTTTCTGCTCCATTAGAATCTGATGGGCCAGGGCTGGCGCTATAGTGTAGCAGGTAAAGCCGCCGCTTGCAGTGTCAGCATCCCATATAGGTGCCAGTTTGAGTCCCGGCTGCTCCACTTCCCATCCAGCTCTCTGCTATGTCCTGGTAAAGCATTAGAAGATGGCCCAAGTCCTTGGGCCATGGCACCCGCTTGGGAGACCTGGAAGAAGCTCCTGGCTCCTGGCTTCGGATCAGTGCAGCTCCAGCCATTGCGGCCAACTAGGGAGTGAACCAGTGGATGGAAAACCTCTCTCTGCCTCTCCATCTCTCTCTGTGTAGCTCTGACTTTCAAATAAATAAAATCTTTAAAAAAAAAAAAATCTGTTGGGCCACTGTTGTAATCCACTGTTAACCTATGTGTTGTGTGGCACATGACTGTATTATCCCTAAGATACATAAATAGTTCAAGTTTTTCATTTTCTTACTCCTCTGTTCAGGTATTGGGTGGTGGTTGGCAGTGACATTTCTGTGTTATCCAGGTAGCATTTTTTCCTAAGCTTTATTTTATTTTATTTGAAAGGCAGTCACAGTCACACACACACACACACACACACACATCCTCCATCTGTTGGATCTGGGGCTGGGCCCGGCTGGAGCCAGGCACTTCAGCTGGATCTCCCACGTGGGTGCAGGGACCTAAACACTTGGGCCATCCTCCACTGGTTTTCCAGGCATATTAGCAGGGAACTGGATCAGAAGTGGAGCAACAGGGACTTGAACCGGTGCCCATATGGGATGCTGGCACTGCAGGCAGGGGCTTAACCCACTGCACCACAGTGCCAGCTCCTCAGGTAGCCTTGATGTCATGGACACCTGGACTATGGGAACTCATCTGGAGTTGGGGGGAACTTGGAGTTTTTCCTGTGAATCGATGTTTGTGGCCACTTTTCTCACCCTGGTGTTGTCCTGTGGCAAGGTATCCACTACCCTGCTTTGCTTGTGTCCTTATCCCTAGGTACAATTTCACAATGCTGGCCCTGTCCTGCTCATTCCTGGTGCTGTCTTACCTTCTGACCAGCTGGTTTGGTAGCGTGGGCTTCATCTTGGCCAACTGTTTCAACATGGGTATCCGGATCACACAGAGCCTTTGTTTCATCCACCGCTACTACCAAAGGAGCCCGCACAGGCCCCTGGCTGGCCTGCGCCTGTCACCACTCCTCCTTGGGGCCTTTGCCCTCAGTGGGGGGATTACGAGCATGTCAGAGGTGAGACTCCCTGCAGCCTGCACCCCACATCCTCCCTCCCTCCCTCTCAGAGTCCTCTCCCCGTCTCTGTCTGAACCACCCGGATGAGTGTTTGCCTCCTGTGGTCCCCTCCCCCACCTCCAGGGCAGCATCTGATAGATAACATAGAGAGTGTACCAGAAGACCCACACCATGCAGCTATACGCTTTCTGTGTGACCCAGAAGCTGGGGCAAGCCGCCTTCCCTGACTCATCCTGGGGGGAGGGGGGAAGCTGAGGAGCTGGGCAGTGATGGTGGTTTCTTTCCGCAGGTGTTCCTGTGCTGTGAGCAGGGCTGGCTGGCCAGGCTGGCACACGTTGCCGTGGGCGCCCTCTGTTTGGCCGTGACTCTTGGGACAGCATTCCTCACAGAGACAAGACTGATCCACTTTCTTAGAACTCAGTTAGGCCTGTCCAGACTCGCTGACAAATGGACTTGACCCCTGGGTTGCTTGGTCACCTGTGGCCCCGGAGCCAGCTGTGGGACAGTCCTGCGGGCAGAGCCCGTCTGGTGAGCAGAAGCCCGCTGTTGGTCTGTAGCGGAAGTCAGAGTCGCCCGGGTGGCGAGACATGTGAGAGCCACTGGTGGCCACCACGGTCCCTCCAGACTGACACGCAGGTGAGGGGTCTCAGTTTTAAGTGAAAACCTTTTAAACTAGATGCTTTTTCCGTGATCTTGTTCTAATCAGCATTTTTCTTCTGTAGTAACTTAAGACTTTATGAATTTATTTTGGGTGTGATTGCCCTCTGGCGCATGCGCTCCAGAGCTGTGTGTTCGGTGTTGGGAGTTAACCCTCTGGCCCAGAAGCAGAGACGTGGCCTCAGTGCCCTCCACAGGCATGCTGGATCTTCTGTGAAAGGAGACTGATGTAGGCAGAAGCAGAGACTGGCTGCAGCCGGGGCTCCCTGTGTCAGCGCTGTGGTCCAAGTCTTGTTCCTTTTTTTTTTTTTAAAGACCTGGTAGCCAGTTTATTAAAACAGTTGTTTGGCTTAGGCACCTGCAGTGGTGACTTCAGTGCCTACTCCTGGCTCCATGTGATGGAAGTAATCTCAGAAGGACTGTGCAAGTCAGTGAGCTGCTTATGGGTTCTCTCATCTGGAACCCATCGCATGTCTTAGAAACTTCACCACAAGGGGTTTTTCTTCTGGTGATTCACAGTGTCTTGGGAGGCATCCAGATTGGTCCTTTCACTTCCAGATTTTTCTTCTTTGCTCCTCTGATCAAGCCAGCACACACTTTCCCAAGGGCCTTGGCATCGTGGCTGGTCAGGGTGATCCTAATTCGGTGAATGGCCACCTCCAGTTCCACGGGCATCTTTCCAGTGACTTTAAAAGCCATGGTTGTGGCGCGGCTTCCTGACCGACTTTTTCCTCAGCAAGAGCAAACAGTGATGAGTGAGGAGCAGGAACAGGCAAAAACACGTTCCACACCAGTGCTGCTGGATCTTCCTCAGAAAGCTTGTTTTATTTATTTTTTTAAGATTTATTTATTTTTATTTGAAAGGCAGAATTGCAGAGAGAGAGAGGGACACAGAGAGAGCTTTCATCTACTCTTGAGATGGCTACAATGGCCAGGGCTGGGTCAGGCCTAAGCCCCAGGAGCCAGGTGCTTCATTCAGGTCTCCCACATGGGTGCAGGGGTCCGAGCACATGGGCCATCTTCCACTGCTTCCCCAGTGCATTATCAGGGAGATGGATCAGAAGTGGAGCAGGCAGGAGTTGAACCAGTACCCATATGGGATGCTGGTGTCTCAGGTGGCAACTTAACCCACTGTGACACAACACTGGCACCACTCTGAGTCTTTAGAGAAGGAGAAACATCACCCAGTGAGAGACCCAAGAAATTGATACAGGAGGCTTCTCCAATCTCATTTCCCAGCATGAGTGAAGGAGAATCTGACCTGGCGTGGCCAGCACATGCCTTGTCCTGAGTGGGCCCTCAGGATTGCTGACTGAGGCATGGAGGGAAGCTGACTGAAAACTCCAGCTGTGGCCACCCAAAGAACAGGCCTAGGAAGGAATCGGATTCAGTGGGGGCTGCTTCATCCGTTCGCCCAGGGAGTTGGGAAGAGATGAACACTGAATCTGAAGGGATGTCCCTTTTTATCCCCAGATTAAATGGGGCAAGGTAAAACATGTACTCACAGAGTCAAGTCCCTTCTGCTGACCCATTTTTTTCCAGCACTTGTCAGTACAACCCAATTCTGGGCTCCCAACACCTTGCTCGTGAGATTATCAGCATTACTCTGGGCTGGTATTTTCTTTTTTCATTGATGTTTGAAGACTTTTTGCACCTAAGTGAACTTTGGAACTGTGTACAAACTATTTCTTCGGCATTAATAGTCCTCTGGCCAGGTGTCCCCAAATCTTCCATGTTTACACCCAGTACAGACAACTCATGTCATGTGTAAAACACTTGAGACACACATGTCCAGTATAATAAAGTGCCTGGATTCGAGTCTTGACTCTGCTTCCAACCTGGCTTCCTGCTCACATGCATCCTGGGAAGCAGCTGGTGTTGGTTCATCTTAGAACTTGGGTCCCTGTCATCCATGTGGGAGACCAGCCCTGGCAATGGCAGGCACTTGAGGAAGGAACAAGTGGATGGAACTCTCTCTCTCTGCTGTTCAAATAAAATGAAAATAAATGAATGCTTTAAATTGCATGAATTTAAATCTCCTTGTCAGGAGCCAATACTGAGGGGCCAAGGACCCAGACCCACCAGCCTACCAAGATGGCCCCAGTCACCGTAATATGTTTCTGTCTGCTCAGAGGGAGAAAGTTTTGCACTAGCTGCAGGAGGTGCGGGGGGAATAGCTGAATACAAGATGTTCTCAGCAATTAGAGGCGTCCCAAAGAGCATGACCTCAGTTACGCTATTGGAGGGCAGGGTCAAGCTAGCTTAGGAAGAAAGATTGCTCCATGGAGTACAGTGGGTGGCAGGCACACAGAAGGCAGCCCCTTCCCATGTCTGCTCTGCTCTGGAGTGCACAGAAATGGCCCTCAGCCCTCCTGAGCTCCTTCCCTGCTGTTTCTGACTTCCCCTCCCTTGATAGCCACTACCTGCCCTGTACCCACCTGATACCAGACCCAAAGTACAGTAACACTAACTGCCTCGGAGCCACCTGGACTGACAGGTCTTCAGAGGGTCGGGTCTTGGGCTCACGTAGCTGGGATGCCATGGAGGCTGGCCCACACGTCATGCTCCCATGCCCGTAGGGACTGCATGCTGTTCATGAGCAGCCCTGTGACCCCCAAGATCTTTGGGAACAGGGCCACCCAGTGTCCCACTGTGGGACTCATTCTCTCCTCTCATCCCATGCTGTCTGCTCTGCAGTGCCAGGGCCAGCTCCTGATCAGAGATGGCCAGCTGGGGCGGTGCCAGGGTCTTTCCTGCGGTCTGCTCCTGTGTACAGGAGGGGTAGCTGTGTGTGTTCTCCTGGCGCCCTAGAGCCACACCTATTGCCTCCAGGTGCTCGCATACTACCTGTGGACCAGGCTCTCACTTCACTCAAGAATTTGGGTGGAGGAAAATCACTTTTGCCTTTAACTACTACTTTTTTTTTTTTTTAATTTATTTAACAGGTAGAGTTATAGACAGTAAGAAAGAGAGAGAAAGGTCTTCCTTCTGTTGGTTCATTCCCCAAATGGCCACTATGGCCGGCGCTGTGCCGATCCAAAGCCAGGAGCCAGGTGCTTCCTGGTCTCCCATGGGGTGCAGGGCCCAAGCACTTGGGCCATCCTCCACTGCACTCCCGGGCCATAGCAGAGAGCTGGACTGGAAGAAGAGCAACTAGAACCCGGCACCCATATGGGATGCCGCGCCGCAGGCAGAGGATTAACCAAGTAAGCCACAGCGCCGGCCCCTTAACTTAAAATATGTTGAGGCTACTTCTCCATGGAAACAAGTCTCCAAGACACATCCTTTTATGAAAGGAAGAAACTTTTCATAAAGGGGAGAGCAGCGGCATTTCTGGCTTTCCATGCTCCGCCACCCACACTCGGGGCTGTTGCTGTGCCGGCTTGATGTTTACTCAGCAGTGACCCCTGGTGGCCATGGAGGTGCTCTCTGCTCTCCCTGATCCCTGCCACTTCACTACCAACCCCAAGCAGGGTCCCTGCTTCCCCCTTTCTTTGTTCTTTTTCTTTATATTTTTTTCTTTTTTCTTTTTTCTCCTTCATTCTGTTTGAAAGGCAGATAGAGATCTTCCTCCTACTTGTTCACTCCTCAACCACCAGGGCTGGGCCATGCTAAAGCCAGGAGCCCAGTGCTAGATTCAGGTCTCCCACGTGGGTAGCAGGGACCCAAGCAACCATCATGATGATGATGAACCATCATCACCTGCTGCCTCCCAGGGTGAGCATTAGCAGGAAGCTGGAATCAGAAGCAGAGCCAGGACTGAAGCTCAGGCACCCCCGTGTGGGATGTGAGCATCCTGAGTGACATATTTTATTTATTTATTATTTATTTTATTTTTTTTAAAGATTTTATTTATTTGAGAGGTGGATTTACAGAGACTGAGAGGGAGAGGAGAGAGAGAGAGAAGTGTTTTCCTTCCACTGGTTCACTCCCCAACTGGCCGCAACAACTGGAGCTGTGCCAATCCAAAACTAGGAGCCAGGAGCTTATTCTGGGTCTTCCAAGTGGGTGCAGGGGCCCAAAGACTTGGGCCATCTTCGGTTGCCTTCCAAGGCCATGGCAGAGAGCTGCATTGGAAGAGGAGCAATCGGGACTAGAACTGGTACCCATATGGGATGCTGACACTGCAGGTAGAGGATTAACCTACTGCGCCACAGTGCTGGCCCCATAATTTCTTATTTATTTACATTTATTTGAAAGGCAGAATTATAGAGAAAAATAAGGGGAGAGAGAGAGAAAGAGAGAGAGAAAAATGTCTTCCATCTGCTGGTTCACTCCCCAGATGGCCACAACGGCCAGGACTGGGTCAGGCTGATTCCAGGAGCTTCTTTCAGGTCTCCTACATGGGTGCAGGGGCCCAACTACTTGGACCAGATCATTAGCAGGGAGCTGGATCAGTAGTGGAGCAGCCGGGTCTCGAACTGGCTCCCATATGGGATGTGGGCATTGCAGGTGGCAGCTTAACTACTGCTGTGCCATAACACTGGCCCCCAAGTAACATTTTCACCCCTGCGCCACATGCCCACCCCCATGTCTTTTCTTGAATTTCGTGTTCATGCTGCTGGTTCCACATCAGTCCCCTGTCTGAAAAGGACTAAATTACATTGTCACATTTTTATAAAGACCTTTCTTCTTCCATACCCTTTGCCTCCAAAAGGGAGAAACATCCCCATGTGTCTGTGGGACGAGCAGTAGGTGGCTCACACGTGTGCACCCTTCGTATCCTTACTGGCGCTCCTCTTCCTGCATGGATGTGGTGACGGCCCATGACTCCTGCCTTTGAAAGACAGGCAGTTTCCTGGCCCATGGGGCAGATTCTTCTGTGGCTGGGCCTGGAAGGCCGGGCGTCTCTGCCACCTGCTCTGCTTCTCGCCCTGGGCGATGTGTCTCAGCCTCTACCGCAGTCTCTGCCTGGCCCGGACCCCCTCGTGTCCTTTCATTGCTGTTGTGACACAGCCGTTCCTTGCTGGGCAGGACTAGTTCCAGTGCAGAGTCAGCCAGTATGTGACTTAGGGGCCTAGGACAGCCCCTCCACCCTTGTGTCTTCCTGACAGGCGACAGGATTGCC